CTCCCGTCAGATGAGCTTGCGCAAAGATCAGCGTTGTTGCATATGCTGGGGTGTGCAGGATGTATTTCTGCATCCCTGCTGTTCATCTTGCAAAAACCCTTTCAGTCCCAGCTGTTATTTTCAGGAACTGACAAGTGGTTTTCTCTAAATTAGTCAAATTTATTCTGAACATGGATGTAGCCCTTCATCAAAAGACAATGAAAAGGCAAGAAATACATAGCAGAACATATCCCAGCCTGTGTCAAATCTGCCTTGTCAGCACAGAGAGATTTTAAGGAAGAGGTAAAATAGCAAGAAAATTCTTTCCTGATTGCTCCTCCTGTGCTCAGTGTAAGAGGATAGCGTAGGTCTGGGATTTAGGAGGAGGTGTTGGAAAAGGGGGTTAAAAAAATCACTTAGTGTAAACATACACTTGCTAACTTCACAGTGGTCTCTGAAAATACACATTTTGGATACTTGGATACAGTGTAGTCTGCTGGCAGTTTATAATTTGTTTACTAAACAGGGAATGTAATTGAAATGTCCCTTTTGAGGCAACAAAAATATAAAACAGCTTCTCAGAGTAGACCAAGGCCTCTAATTTAATTATATGTAAGCCTCACAGATTAAAAGTATTTTTTCATCCATTCCTGACAGCCTGAAGTGGATAAATAACCAAAATTTAAAGAAAAACCTTTTGAAAAGGAGACCTGGCAGATGAAAGAGCAAAGGTCCAAACAGCTGTAGAACGATTTATCTCCACTGAGATCCCCACTGTTTTTATGGCAGCTATATGTGAAAACTGTTAAGGGTTTGGAAGCTGTGACACCCATTGGAGGGGACAGGGGTCCCCAGTACTTCAGGCACGACAAGCTGGCTCCTTTGAAACACTGCTGTGTGCCAGGGGAGTTACTCCTTAAGGGTGCATTGTGAGCAGTGGCCAGAGAAGCAGCAGGAGCAGCCATACAGGTAGTGTTGAGCCTGTGCCACCACTTGCAGTCAGTCCTTGACACCACAGATCTGGTCCCAAAGCAAAGCCTGGCACTGCAAAGGCGCCCAAAGGCAGCCAGAGCTCAGGCATGTCCTGGGTGTGTCCCAGCCCTGTGTGTGCCACCTGTGTCCTGCACTGGAGCATGGTTGTGTCAGCCAAGGGCTGATGGCCAAGGCTAGCTACTGGTGTAGCTACTGGAGTTCAGCAGCTGTTCTTGCACACCTTCTGTCTGCCCCCACATTCCTGTCCCCACTGTGTGTGCCACAGGAGCGTTTGCCACCCCAGCAGAGACTGCAGTGTCCGTGTGGGGACAGAACTCTTAACCTGACTCTGCAGGGGAGTCTGTGTCTGAGCAAGCTGTGAACACAGGTTTCCTCTGGTGTCATCCCAAGCCCAGCCATCATGTAGTCATACACAAAAAAAAAAAAGAATTTCATCATTTTAATGCAGCACATTAAATATTTTCTGAATTTAGAAAGGTAAACCAAGGAAGTGCTTACAGGAAAAAGTGGTGTTTCCATGTAATGGGGTGAGTAAATGAGGAGCAAAGAGGTTTGGAGTAGCAAAAACTGTTCTTCATAGCATTTATTTTCTTAGAAAATGTTCTCCCTTTTCAAATTTGTGGTTTAAGACTTTGATCTAGGGGCATAGTTTGTCTAGGACACAAAAAAAAAGTCAAGTTTGCTTCTGGTATAAACATTTACAGCTTCATTGACTTGAGGTGGAATTTCACCTGGGAATATAAGTGGTGACCCCAGTGACAGATAGAGGGAACACTGGTACCTGCTGCTTGGAGGTACTTGAGCAGTGGCCAGAACACCAGGAAAATATTTGCTGATTCATTTTTCTGTGGAGTACTTACTTTTCTGTAGTTCATCTAGAGCTGATCTAACAGTTTTGACTTTGATAAAAGGTTGAGTTTGAAAAGTTTTTAGAGTGGATGGTGATTTTATTTGTCTGCAACACAGATCGATGCACTTTGAATTGTGCATGTGCAAGTGTGAACTGGAGCGAAGAAACTGTAGTGCAAGTGCCAGAACTCCGCAAAATTCTGGCTAAGGAGTTAACCCTAATCATTATCTAAAACCATGCCTCTAAAATGCATCTCAAATTATATTTAAATTTACTGTTACACAGACATTTCATGTTATCTTTATGGCATGTCAGATACTAAAACCTTTAAAACTTGAATAAATCCTTCACTTAGCTGCCCATAAGCAGCATGTTTTTTGCTTTTGTTTTGTAATTTGCTATTTTATCAATGCTTGGAATGACACTTGTAGATCTGGATTAATTTCCCATGCTGATTTGTGATGAATGTGCCCTGCAGGCTATTAGTATCTTCCTCCTCTTTAAAATTTGCTATTACCATTTACAGGACAGCATGTTCTCTTTGACACATGGCATCAGCTGTTACAGCCTGATCCAAACCCTACAAAATAAGGGAACAGTGATGCAATTCAAGGTTTTTAAGGAAAGGCAGTATCTTTTATTAGATCAGCTGTTACAGTTGGGAAAAAACAGGCAGGCTTTCAGGCACACAAATCCTTCTTCAGGTCTGAAATAGCAGCAGTGTTGCTTACACCAGCATTCCTCATCAGTGAGGCAGCCATGGTCCCTGTAAGGTTTAAAAGCTGTGTTTAGGAGTGTGTGCATTGCATGGCCCTGCTCACTGGGGAGGGCTTCAGAGCAGAGCACAGCAAATATCATTCCCCTCCCCACCTCTTCCCAGTGCACACCCCACAAACCAGGGGTACATCCCACAGGGAGAGGTAGTGCAAGGTCACTTGTTCTTGAGAAAAGTCTTCAATACCTTATGACCAAGCCACATCTTCCCCACAGTCACCCTGCTGTTGGGAAGGACTGAGGCAAAGCTGTGAGCTTCACAGTGCAGGTCATTAACTTCAGGATTCCTGCTGGAGATTCTGTCTCCTAATATTTACAGCTCTCCAGCAGAGAGTTGTGGGGCCAGCTGGCAAAATCAGTTTTATTCTCTTTCTTGTAATTGCTTTACAGGGAACAGTGTTTCCCAGAGTTTCTGAAGTCACTGTTGACTGACCAGCCACCTGATAGCAAAACATGTGATTGGAAATGCTCCACAGGCAGGATGGTTCTGCAGAAAAGCTGTAGAAGCAGCTTCCCATAGTCTTTAAATTTCATATTTATCCTCCTTTTTCTTTTCTAGAAATCTTCAAAAGTATGTACTAAAGTCTTTCTTAGTTAGAGAACAGAGGTGAGGTGGTCCAAAATTAAACATTAACACTAACATTTACTGAATGTTAGCATTACCTGTGACACTCATTTCTGTATTGCCACACTAGGACCTGGGGTGTGAACTGTAGTTAACAGCTGTGGTATTAAGAAGCTGAGGATGGTTTTTGCTCATGTGAATATTTTCATGGTATGTGGACTGTGAGAACTCTGGATTTTGCATTCTTTCCTGAGTGTAGTAACAGGTGTGTTAATTATGTGGCTTCTCTAGTCAGCCCTATTCAAAAGTGAATGATTGTGTTTCAAGAAACTGTCACCACAAAAAAATTGTGAATAAGTATTAATGCTTCTGTAGAAACTGAAAGGATGAACTGTTTATGACTTCCAAGAGACATGAAAGACCAATGAGCAAGTAATGCTGTAAACAGGAATATGATTATTGGAAAAGCATAGTTCAGAGGGAGAAATACATATTAAAAATCTTAGTTTAAGATCTGGTTTTGGGCATTGTGTTCTGAGGTAAAGGTATGTTACATTGCTCTTGAAAGCCCTTAAAAGTTTAGAAATTTGTGGGAGCCTGTCTTTGTATAAAATACAAGCGTTTCAAATGTGGTTCTGAATTACCATACCTGGGTGTGTCTTTCCCAGCCTGGCCAAACTTTGATCCCTTTTATGCTTCTCCACCCAACAATGTGCCCAGTGACACTTGCCCATGGCAAAGAGGCTGGCATCAACCACAGAACAGCACAGGCAGCTGCTTCTTTATCCCAGAAGAGGTTTTAGTGGAGGAGTCATAAGGACAAGCAGATTCTCTGGTGAATTTCAGAATTTGTTTCATTCCTTTTAGTACCCAGCCAAGATGTTTGTGTTTGAAAGCATGGCTGTGAGTGTTACTGTGGACCAGTGTTTCTTTTTCTTTGTGTGCACCAAAAGGAAAATGATTAGTTTGTCCATGAAAGAGCTTCATTCTTACTTGAAATAAAAGTCCTTACATATTCCCAACTATTTTAAGACACTTCTATGCTGCCAGAGTAGAAGAAGTAAAAACCAGGATCCATACTTGGTCCCCATAACAATAATTGTCTTGCCATGTGGACATCACACATCTAACTTGCAAAATATAATTCTAGATCTGGATTCTGCAGCCAGTAAAAGGCTCTGATGCTCTGGTCTTTGGACATCTTTGACAGAAAGGTTTGAAATGTGAAGGCAGATCCAAGTCAATGCTTGAGATGAACCCCACATTTACAGTGGATCTCCTTATAAAGGCATTTCTAAAACTGGAAGAATAGTATGAAGGAAGGAGAAGCAAAAAAATAAAAAGTGAACTGATGAGGAAAAAAGTATCTACTCCCAAACCACTAGTTTTTGCTATATGTCACTCTTCTTTAATAGTGATGATGTTGCAGATTTTTTAAACAGAAACAGCAGCAGCAGTGTCCAGGACTCACGTTAATGTGCCAGCTACACATGAATGGTGCACATTATAAATATACATTTAAGGTCTTTTCATGCATACCACAGCTAACTAACAGCCAGCTCCACCTCAGTGTTCTTCCAATACTGCATTTATGGAGTAGCTTGTAGTGAAGGAAGGCTGGAAATGGCAGTGCTAATGGTAGCAGCAGATGACTTTGCACATTATTCCATTTCTGCTGCATCTGATTATAAATTCAGGTGGGAGATGTCAAAAAGCCAGGGAAGTAAAAGTCTCATGTGTTCATTTTGTCACCCAGAACTCAACATGTTTGTCTCATCTGGCTTTGCATGCTGGCAGCTTTGTCTCTTCTTGTTTCACTGAGACTTTGCTCTTTTCCAGGTGCCAGGAGACAACGAGAAGCACTGGAAGCCAGTGTTGGTGGTTTTGACAGAGAAAGACCTTTTAATATATGAGAGCATGCCTCGGATAAAGGAAGCCTGGTTCAGCCCTGTGCACACCTACCCCCTGCTCGCCACCAGGTACCTTTGCTTTTCAGTCATGACAGCTTTCAGGAGCAGTGGGAGCAGCTGAGTCAGCCAGGAGCAGGTATAGCTGATACACAGCTGCAGTCACACTTGAAATATTGTGGTTGGAGAAGCAGGTTCTTCTTCAGCCGAGCTTAACTCCTCTCTTCTCCTCCATTTCAAGTTCTGGCTGAAGCCGACAACCAGAAACTTACTGGGATTTTGGATGTGGCAACTTAGCTTGGATACAGAGGCAGGAGTGATGAAAAAGCTGAAAGCTCAATCTCCTGAGATTCCTATGTCAGTGTGCAGACCTGTGAGCTAGGCAGAAACACCCTGACCTCCAGCTGCTCCTCCAGGCTGAAAAAAGTGAACTTGTTGCCCTGAGTTGAATGTTGTGGTGTGGCAGTTCTGCACCACCAATTTGGGCCTTTTGGAGGGTTCCACATGTGATAGAGATGCTTTCAGCACAGCTTCTGTTCCTGCTCTAGCAAATTAATTCCTGGATTTTTTTAGCTTAAAATTGTAAGCTTGGAAGACACATTCTTGAATCTAGGTTAGCAATAAGCATTTGCATTATTTTGAAGATATCCATTAACACTGATTCAGAGTGAGCTTTCCCATGGTTGCCTTTATGCAGTGGAAACTGTTTGTGCTTCTTGATGTGAATCTTAATCATGTTTCTCTGCCAGTATGGTCAAAAGGCTTGAGAAAGAGCTGTTGTTCCTTGTTTCAGACTTGCTACAGGCCTCTATTATACCATTTTCAATGAGTTCTCATTCAGAAGGGTTGGTTGCCCTGGCCAGAAGCAGTGTGGCTCTTACTGCACTCTCATTAGTTAATTTTTGTTCTCTGTGTCTCCCCAAATGAACTGGCACTTTGCTGCTAAGTCATTATGTTAAAAAAATAAAAATTGAACTCACTGATTTATATTGATGGTGTGTTCCATCAGTGGGAAGCCACCTTCTGACTCCCCCTTTGTTACCCTACCATGGGTGAGAGACACCAGCTTTGCAGCTGGCAGCCTGCTGCATGGTATGGTGCGGGATGCCATTGACAATTCTAGGTGACAAGGGACAGTGAGAGCTGGGTGAGGTATTGCAGCCTGTGTGCAGCTGTGTCTCTATGCCTTAGAGGTTGAGAAGCAATAGCACCCCAGCAGAAAGTGATGCATTTCCTCCCCTTTTTTTCAAGGTTTCATTTTTACATGAACTCAAATCCTCCCTAAAGTAACTGGGTGTCCTGTAGTACACCCTGCCCCTTCCTGGCCACATGTTGTCATGTGTAAAGACAACTCCTTGCTGACTGTCACCAGCTCCCATCATCAGTGAGACCAGTTTACTGCATCAAATAATCTAAGTCCACATCTTGGGCCCTGTTACTTACTTATTTTTTCTCAAGAGGCCACATTGGATAGCAGACAGCCTTGCCTTGGGTGGGGATGGTCATCTCCTTGTCTGATGGGGTACTTTCCTGAGTGGAAAAACATTGGCCTTCCTGCTGGAAGGGAATGAGAAGTTGCACAGCACATGTGTCAGGCTGCTGAAGGGTCTTTACAGACTGGGAACAAAGAAAGCCAGGGTGGTCTGTAAGAAACAAGGTGCAGTTCAGAAAGGACAGGTGCCAAGTTCAGTGCTGGGGAACAATCACCTCTGCTGTTTTGGGGTGGAAATGAGCAACAAAGTAGTTGCTCTGCCAGGAAGCAGCCGAGCACTGTGATAAAATTGCTTCAATCTAAGGTGTTTTTGAGAGGAGAAAATGAAGACAATCATCTTGGGTTATAGCAGAAGTGTTGCATTTTGGGCAGATGTAGTAATCATAACTACAGAGAAGGAGTAAAGCCTTGGATGATACTCCATGTTCATGAGAGGCATTGCACTTCCAAAAAGATGCCAGTTAACTGTGGAAGGTGTAGAAGAAAGCAATGCAAATATGTAAAGTAGAAACACTACCAGGAGGGGAATACTCACTTAGTAGCTTAATATAGAGAAGTCCATGGAAAACATGGCAGTAGTTTTCAGATATGAAGACACAAGGAGGACAGGGGAGTATCTTTTCCAGATCACACAACAGAACATAGTTGACTGCACTTATGGCAGGGAATTGGTGAGGTACTGGTTTAGATTCTCTGGGAAAGGTGTGTGATCCTCATCACTGGGGACATTGAAGGATAGGTGACACACAGCACAGTTAGCCCTGCTCTGTGAAGGGGGATCTGCTGGGTGACCTCTTGACAGCCATTCCAGCCCTATTTCTGTGATTTCTTACTACTATCACTGAATGTAACACCCAGAGAAAAAGACAGCAGCTACACAGAATTTGGAGTTCACAACGGAGTCACAATGTGATAAATACACGTATACAGCAGATTCTATAAATTGTCAGATTCCCTAAATTATTACACCTCCAGTTTTGGATGATTTTGATTAAAACTCTGCATGGTCCTGCTTTTATGATCTGCCACACTGAGTACAGTTATAGCAAAAAAGTAGAGCAGGTTTTCTGTTTGTATTGACTGCTGTGTTCATTCTCGCTCAGTGATTCCCCTCCTCGTGACGAGTTTTTTAATCCCCTCTGTGCATTGATCAGTGCAATTTAGAACTTTTCACCTGGAAAGTTTGCAGAGCACATGTTGTAATCTTAGCTGCTCCCATCTTTCAGATTTTTATGAGTCCTTGGGAAAGCATTTTTGCTTAGCTAATGCATATTTGAAAAGCTGCTGAAACTGGAAAACTTCAGTGCCAGATACTGTACAGTGTCATGCTTAATCTACCCAAGACATAATGAGCAGAGAAAATTGGAAATTGGTAGAAGGATTACAATCTTCTCACAGTCCTTTAACAGCAAAATTTCTACATGCCTTTCTTGTTTGTTGATAAGTTTGTCTACAACCTATGGAAGCCATTAAGACCTAAAAATATTTTCCAGTCAGTCTTTTCTAGCTTTGCATGGAATATAAATAATAGCTCAAATAAAACTGAGATCAGATTTAAGTTATTCCTTTAAATCTCTGCATGGGGAGGCATGGCAGCTGGCACACAGCCCTGACTCCAAGGACCTTTTTGTCATAATCTCTGTTTCAGTGTTTCCTTATGCCTGAATAACAGTGCCTCCCTCTAGCATGGGAATGGGGCTTAAGTAATTACATCTTATATGTTTGCAATCAAATTCCATTATCTATCATAGCCAGATATGAAAGGAAAGGGAAAAAAAAAAGCAGCCCATGTTGGGCTCTGATTAAAGATCAGGTAAGAAGCTTTTGTGTACAGCTGAAGTCTGTAACCAGAAAGTATTAAAGCAGTTTGATAGCTAATGACATAGAAAAAATGGGGAAGGAATTTGGGGACTGATTACTCATCTGGGCCAGTGGATGGAGCGACAGGCAGAGAGCACTGGGTGCCCTGAGAGCCCCAAGAAGTGTATGGGGTGCAATGCAAGTCCCTGCTGGTCTTCCCAAGGCAGTGAGGCGGGCTCTGGGTGCCTCCGTGCAGATGAACTGAGGGAATGTGCACAGGTTTCCGAGGAGCACGGCCATTCCAGGGTAGGTTTCAGTGCTCACTCAGGGTGCCGTAGGAAAGGTCACATGGCAGTGGGGTTCTCACAGTGTTCATGCACTTGTACAGGGTCTCTTCTAAGTTAAATCTCAAGTGAGCAGCTGAAGGCTTCCTTTGAATGCCAGCGCTGGTTTCACTGTCCTTTCTGCAGAGACCACTAGATCTGGCTGTTGCAGTAAATTGTTAAAACTCTTCCCATAGCATTAGAATGAGACGCAGGTCCCAATGCTTCTCACCCTGCACCAGCACCCCATGTCAGAACACATCCATCTTGCTGTCACACGTTCACAAAGCAAAAGGTTTAAAAGGTCCCCGAAATACAGAGAGAGAAGGGAGAAATGAGAGAAGATCAGAAGTGTCTCCCTGGCCCCGGGGTTGGTTTTCAGCCGCTGCGCTCCGAGCGCTCCGTGAGGGCTGAGGGGCTCCGGGCCGTGCCCGGCCTTCTCCCGCCCTCTGGCGGCGCTGCCTGAGCCGGGAGGAGCCCTCGGGGCTCGGGCTCCGGTGCTCACAGATTCCCCCAGAAACCTCCACAGAGCACAGGAACCTTCCAGGGCTGGGGTGAATATTACCAGTGCCGGGCCCGGGGTGCTTCTTCAGCTTCTTCAGCGCAGCACACGCCACACAGTCCCCCTCCCCTGCTGTTACGGTGATGGGAGGCAGGAGCGAGGGGAAGCCTTCTGTGAGGTTTCTAAGGCTATTTTTTGCCTTTTAAGGTATCTCTGTGGTCTTTAGGATAAAATACCTTCTATGTAAATGAAATTGCCCACATTAATGCAACTTTATTAAAGCATCCTTTGACCTGTACCCAAATACATGAGCACTGACAGCTGGTACATAAATGCTATCAAATGTCCTCCTGCATGTTTGCCTAGTTCATGTTTAAGGTCATGACTTTCCAAAGCATCATCTGGAGTTGCCTGATAGAAAAGCATTTTTAAATAGTGAGACTGGATTTTTAATAATCAGGAGATAATAAGAAAAGGCAGGCAAGAATCAACGTTCATGTTGGATGTGTTCACATACTTTAATTTGTAAAGTACATCTTCATTCTATCCATATGCTGAAAAACCTACAATGCAGTACTATGGATACAGCATGAAGGTGTGGGGGAGTGGGTGCTGGTGCTGTGTGTTTTGGAAGGAAATCAAACATTGGAACCATCTGTTTGTTATGTATTCAGTAACATAAGTAATAGAAAATGATTTTTTGTACAGCTGATGAGCAGTGCATAAAGGAGATGACCCAGGAAAAAGGTGGAATAGTTTTATTTCTAATGACAAACTTGATGTGATTTTCCAGGCTGCTTTTCCACAGCCCAGCAGCCGAAGGCAGCATGAGAGCAGTGGCCGTGCCTGTGCCTGGGTGACCACCCAGGGACAGACAGCAGCAGATGGCACTGGAGATTTCAGCTCCCTGATTCCTGCCTTAATTATCAAGATGTAGCTTCCCCTCAGAGTTTGCATCCTCTCACACCAAATGAAAGAGAATTAAAGTTTCTGGGCTGTTTGTTTGCCACTCAGTCCCTGATTGCAAAATCTGCCAATAGTAGAGATAGGAGGCCCTGAGTATCAAAGCTGAGTGGGGCACTAACTCAGCTTTTCCAGAGGGGAAAAAGCCCTTCTTGTCCTGGCCATACACAGGGCAGGGCATCTCTGACCACGATATTCTGTGTCTCGCCTCCCAGGAGCTCTTGGGAACATAAAATAAAGTTTCCATGAACTTGAGTGTGAACAAATCTTGCAAACCTTCTCGTGGGGTATGAAAGAGGGGTGCATTTGTTTGCCACAGTGTGCATCCCAAATGTCAGCACAGACTGTCAGGGAATTGGGGGAAATTTCAGGTGCCCTGTGGCTGGTGTTTCAATAATTGAAAAGCTGAAGTTGTGCTTTTTCTTTCCTTTCTGCTTTTTTCTTTTCTGCTAAAACATCCCTGTTTGGTGGCATACCCATACAGTGTCAGCTAACAGGTAACTGTTCTTGCTGATGGCAAACAACAATTTGAGGGTAAATTAGTATTCAGTAGATTAGTTTAATGTAATGTTTTCTCCTTTAGCACAAGTGTTCTACTACCATGCCACATGCTTTATAGACTACTATGAACTATATTGTTTGGCTATAGAAAGAAAAACAGAAGGCACGAGACAGAAGGTTTTCAGACAAATTTCATTTTGTGATTGCCTCTGAGGGTTGGTCTCTGAATCTCAAAGAGTGATGAGCTCCCCTAGATGATTTTTTTCACATGTAAGAGTGTTGTGTCCCTAAGTGAATCCTGTGTTGAGTGTCCATACTTTTAGAGGGGAAAAAAACAACATAAAAGGGCAGATTTAAAGAAGAATTAATTTTTATGAGATACTGATTTTCTCACTCAAAAATATTCCCTGCTATTTCTGTTTGCCCAGATGAACAAATCTTTCCTGGCCACAGGAGATCAGCTGTTGATGCAGGGCAAAAAAATGTTAATTGCAGACAAATGTGAGAGAATTTTAGATTACAAGTAGCTGCAACATTTTTCATTTTACAGGTTTCGTATGGGAAAACTAAGTACAAGACAGTACTTTGGCATCTACATATTTTACAGAGCTTCATACTTTATTCAACACTATTTATCATTGAATTTGATGGCAGATGTTTAAACTTTAGAGCAAATGCTGCTTCACCATGGAAGTTGGATTCAGCTGCCTCAACTGAGCCAGCACTTGTATCTGTGGACCAGATTCCATCACCACACACCAGTCAGGGATTTCTCTCAGCTCCTCATCCAAAGGGATGTTTTGTACAATTCATTAAGTAATTTTGGGACATCCATGTCATTACCTGTGTGTCCAGCTGTTCCTGTGCTCACTGCCTTGGACCTTCACTCTTCTGAGACAGAACACAGAGGAGATGCGAGTTCTCATGCTCCCAACCATGTGTGTTAGGAACATGCAGAGCAGAGCTGTGCTCAGGTGGGCATTTTGGGGCAGCGCACTGTTGTTGGAATTTCCTGATGTGTTTTCAAATCCAATTGCAGGTTGGTTCATTCTGGCCCAGGAAAAGGCTCACCCAAGTCAGGGGTGGATTTGTCTTTTGCAACCCGTACCGGTACAAGACAAGGGATTGAGACTCACCTGTTCAGGACTGAGACCAGTCGAGACCTCTCACTGTGGACGAGGAGTGTAGTGCAGGGCTGCCACAATTCTGCAGAACTCATCACAGAAATCACCACATGTGAGTAACACCTGCAGCATTTCCACGCCTCCACACCCTTCCTGTGACACTCGTGGCAGTTCAAGTTCCTTCTGCTGGAGGTGATTTACTTTAAAAATGTGCATGTTTAGGGATTCTACTTGTGTAAAATGCTGTCAGGTTCTGAGCCAGTCCCAGCTGCTGTGGTACCTTGTCCAGTGACACACTCATTGTGATGCTGACTTTTGGGTTTGTTTTCAGCATGTTGTTTCAGAAACAACTCTGTAGTCAGCCATGTAGGCCTGCATGTCAGAGGAGTGATTGTCAGAGGTTGGTCCAGAAACACACAGAAAAGAGCATTTTTCTGAGATTCAGGAAACTCCTGTGAGCCTAGCAGGAGTTTCTCCTGCAGAGGGAGGAGACAGAAGAGGTCTGGCACATTCACAAGAATGAATTGGTCATTTATTGACCCAGCTCTACGCAACAGAGAGTAAAAAACCACAAACCAGTCTAATAACCACATTTTGATGGGTAGTAATTTCCTTCCCTGAACATCAAGGTGTCACTTCTCAGCACTTCTGAACATGCAAAATCAATTGGAATAGAAATACTTGGCTCAGATGCTCTGCAGTGATGCCCTGTTTGGCCAGGTGGCTGCAGGCCTGGTGTGGCTCTGGGGTTTGAGGCTGGGCCTTAATCTTGGGTGCCCCCAGGCTTTGCAGTCCTTCCCCTGCTAGTCCTACAGTTGGCAGGGCTGTTAATGTTGAATTTTATCTCCACTCATTTCCTGAAAATGTGAGAGCAGGAGCCAAAGCACAAATCCAGCCATGCCAAAGGGCAGTTCTTGTTTCTCAAAGCTCAGGTAGAGCCACGTGGCTGCTTGTCAGCTGCTGGGCCCCAGCCCCACAGGGAGCACAGGATGCTCTGTGAGGCCTCTGATGTGCAAACCAGCCAGAGAGCTCAGGGGGAACCAGCTCAGAACAGGTCCATCTCCTCAGCGCCCTGACACAGATGCCATTCTTTCCAAAAGAAGAAGGGCTTCATCCCCTTCTTTTATCACAGTGCTTTTGTCCCACTGCTAAGGATCCTTCTTGATAGAATTGCTCCAAGAAGGTGATGGAATAGTGAATTTGGGATGTGAACTCCAAAACTCTTCCTCCTTTAATTTGGATCATGGCCTCTGTTTCAGGGCTGAGAGGAAGATGGAGACTTTCTGCTGCAGTAGCTATTACATACAATTATCTGGGCCCTTTTTCAATTACCATGACACTAATGAGGACTCAGGAGTGTCTTCATCTTTGTCAAAATACTTTAGGGAAACCCTTTACAGCTCCTAATTTTCTCATGCATTGTGTGCTGCGTTTATTGATTCTGGCTGTGTCTGTCAGATGCAAGAAGAGCAGTTGTGACTTTGTCAAGGTTTGGAAGGAGGAAACAAGGTTTGGAAGTCTGAGCCTTCTTAAACTTCAGCACACTGGTTTTTGTCAGCATGTACATGTGTGATGGAACATGAAGAACTGCTTTTAAGAATGTGAGACTAAATCTTGATTTCTTCTCCAGCTTGCACATACAAAAGCCAGGAGTGCCGCTTGACCATCCATTATGAACATGGATTCTCTCTTACAACCGAACCACAAGATGGTGCCTTCTCCAAGATAATTGCACAATATCCCTATGAAAAACTGAAAATGTCCTCAGATGATGGGATAAGGATGCTTTATTTAGACTTTGGAGAAAAAGATGGAGAAATTGTAAGTACTGTGTTGAGCAAAGGGATGCATGTTACCATCTCTTTGGTTGTCCTACAGGTTATGGGGGTGGAGAAGCACTAATGGAAGTTAAACTAGATGAGCACTGTAGGTCCCTTCCAACTGAAATACTTTATTTCATTCTGTTCCATTCCAACAGTTGGCCAGTGCCAGTTCCAGTACCAGTATATAGACTCTGTTTTCTAGCACAGCACAATGATCAGGCTTTAGGAGGAGATAAACTAAAAAGACAGTTAAAATTGTAAAACCATACAGAGATTAAAGATTTGTCATATTTTAGAACAAACTGTACCTCTAAATAGCCAGATGTTAACATTTTTGCACTTATCCATTTCACTTTTTTAAATTACTGAGCGTGAAAGAACTTGGGAATGAGACCTTATTAATTCCAATGTACACATAGGGACTTCATGTTATGACAGCAAGTTATGTTTTAGGTGGTTTTGAACATGTAGCTGCTGAAAAAAAAAGCTACAGATGTTGTGCAAACTGTCTGCATAGGCCTCTAAGCTTGTCACAATGCCTAAAAATAAGGTGCATATTCCAATGAGCAGTTTAAATCCATTAATTATGAATGTAAACTTCATTTTTCCTCACATATTTTTTCAGCGGTTCCTAAACATGGTGGGTACTTAATTCTAAACGTCACCTTTGTTAACTATACTCTGCAAACTGCTTATTGTCAGGCTTTGAAGGGAATTTCTTACTAGCTTTCAATAAAGTTGATTCATGACTGCTGGAAAGGTGTTACAAATGAGTGTTTGAGATTGCTTAAGAAATCACCAGCAAGGGTATCAGCAAAAACCAGATTTAATACTTGGCGACAGCGTGACAGAGTTTGTTGGCAAGATTCACTTTACTGCCTACAGGACAATTAAGGCACACCAAGGAAACAAAGCAGCAACAAAACCAGGCAATCAAAATCCAAGCAATCAAAATCCAAGCAATCAAAACAGAAATGAGCTGAGAACCATCTCAGGGGCTTGTGTGTGTGTTAAGGTGTGCATATCAAAAGGATAGTGAAGGCAAGGATAAAAAGGAACATGGTCTAAAAACTTAAGAGCACTCAAACTTTACAGTACTTTAACTTAACTTAAACCTAACAAGTTTAAAAAGGAACAACACTTAACTTATACCTAACTTAACTTATAACTTAACAATTTAACAGAGGAATAACAGCATTTAACCCAACTTATTACTTCAAAGTTGAACTTGCTCAATAGAAGAATAACATTCAGCAGCTTTTAACTTAGCTTACAACTTATGACTTAACCTTACTTACAGGCCTAACTTACTGAGATATCGAAGGTCCTTAAACATCTAAGTAAACAGCATGTCTCCTGGATTTGCTAAAGCATATACACAGGTGCATGCACACAGACAGAAGGAATCAGTGCAAGAAAGGTACCTGTGAAAAATTCCCCTCAGAGGTCAGGGAGCTCTGAGAGGTCCCACTCAGAGGGAGATGCTGGTCACAGCCTGCTGCAGTTCAGGAGAGCTCAAAGGGTCTCATTTTGGACAGCTGTTTATAGGGGCACTAAAGAGTCAGCTTTAGTCATAACAATGTTTTGTCCTGGCCACAGTTTGGGTCGGCACTTTCTTTGAAAGTGTGAGAACAGCAATGTTTTGCCATCCAGGCAAGGAAAACAGTTTCCAAGGTTGTTCATAAAGAAAACAGGAACTCCTTAGACAGCAGTAGTTCCTGGGAGCAGGCACTGTTTCTGATAAGCTCTAGAAGGGATGAGCTCAGGTGCTGCTTTTCAAGGCCAAGGCCTAACGAGCATTTCTCAGATTGCAGTGCAGCCTGGAAAAGGGAGGGAGCAGGGCAGAATGCACCATCACAAAAGGCAAACGTGGTTTGTTTTCATGTGACCCTGTTGTTGGGCCTCTGCACACTGACAAGCCTGTCATGCTTAGCAAGGATGTGGTGAGATCAGCTGAACTATGGCTATGGAAAACAAAGTCTGAGTTCAGTCTCACTGCTGGCTGGGAGAACAGAGAAGCAGCTGTGCAGCACTGGCTGAAGGTACTTCAGCTGCACCAACAGCAGATGCACTGGGCATCAGAGGAGTCCCACTACCATCCCAGGCAGAAATGGCCAAAAAAGATTGGGTTGAGCCTCTTCAAAAAGTGCTTGCAGAATCTGACAGTTTTCTGCTGCTCACCCAGGTGATACCAAGCCAGAGGCATCAAGATCTCACCTGCTTCCAAGATGCTTATTAGTTTAAGCAGCCCAAATATTTGCAGCTGAATGCAAAGGAAAAACAATCTGGTGTAGAGAAGAGCTGTTGTTAATAAAAGCCTGTTCAAAATACCAGACAGCAGTTTGAGTACTCAGTAAGTGATTTCTTGTTTGCGCTATAATTCTCAGCTTGATTTTTTTTTTTTCTGTACTTTCAGCAACTGGATCTTCATTCCTGTCCAAAACCAATTGTTTTCATCATTCATTCCTTCCTGTCAGCAAAGATCACGAGACTGGGCTTGGTGGCATAAGTGGGATCCATGTTTCTTCAAAGAGGGTAACCACACTAATCTAGAGTACAGTCAACAGCAGCAACCTGTCCTAGCTGGCAGCAGACACCAGCCTGGGACTCAGCACTGGCCATTGGTCGTTTCTGCAGTCCTCCCAGGCCCAGGTTCCATTTTGACCAGCTAAAGAGATGGCATGACAAGGAAGATGGGGGATTTCATTGTAAATAATGGGATTTTAAAATCCCATATGAGACCGTAAAAGCGTGTAGTACCATACATGTAAATGTTTCAGAAGGAGAAATTGTGCCTAATTCAATGTACTTGTCTATATAAAGTAAAGGGCTATGCAGTCAAGCACTTGTTGGTTGTGATGCAAGCCAAAGTTGGTTGGGGAGAAATCCTCTAAAATTGTCCCATCACCTGGAAGCAAAATGTTCTTTCAGTTATAATTTGTGCACCTCTTACAGATTTTTCTTTTGGAGCACTGCTAGAACTTGTTGCATGAATACCCAGCAGAGCCTGCAAATACAAACCTTTGAGGTGGACACTCTGAAGCAATCCAGCTGTGGACAGCTAACAGCTGGAGGCCCCCCCCAGGAGCAGTTTCACATTAAGCAGTAACCAATGTCACCCACATTCCCAGTGATGGAGCCAAAGCAGGGCCAGCCGCAGGGATGGTGCTGAGAGCCAGCTCAGGGGGCACAGGCAGGAGATCCCTTTGTTAATGAACACAGAATGCATTTTTATAGTGACTTCCCACCACAGCTTAATGAGTTTCAGCTATCTGGGAGCCCCAGCTCAGATAAAAACTGCCTGAATCCATTCTGAGGTGGGATGATGCTCCTGCCAGGTTATCTCCAGGGCAGTTTTCCAGTAGACAGCCATATTAAGATTCTGTCCTCCTACCCCTACTGAGTCCCCCCCTTTGCTCAGACAAAGCTGGTTGTGTGGTCTTCATAGAATAACAAACATAGGGAAGGAGGAAGACTTGATTTTATGAGTGTGTGAAAAATTTATTGAAGCAGCTCCACAACAGTGAGGAACATACACCAGGGCAGGAGCATGAGCTGCAGTCCTTGACATGGAACTGCTCCTATGGGCATGACTTGGCAAGACCAGGTTTCTTGCTGGGGAAATACAAGATGTTCATCTCCATGCCCACACCCTACTGGTGACTGTTTTGCAGCAGAGCTTATTGTTGTGACTCAAAACATGATTCAGTGAGTTTCAGCCTTGTTCACAGCTACTTGAGCAGCAAAAAGCAGGCAGGAACACTGACTTTCAGCACCAGAGATGACACACACAGCCCATACCTGGAAATAATAAACTGGCATGACATGATCTGGTGGGAATAGGAAGAAGCAAAACAGAGATGCCACTTATGTTGTTCTTCCTTTTTAAAAAGAACAGCTTCACACTGTTCTTTTAAAAGAACAGCTTCACCCACAGGGGTGGGGTTTTGTCTGTTTTTAGAGTTTTGCCCTAAATTCACACTTTGAAGGACAGGAAGTAATATATTCAGTGTTTGTGGATGTTCACTTTTTATATTACAACATTTCTTTTATTCCTGAGAAAGCACAAAGATTTCAATTCAGCATCACTTGGCTAGCAAAAGAGAAAATTAAAAAGACATTTTGGTTCCATGTTGTTTTTGAGCTAAGTTTGAGAGTTAAGCATAAGTCATGTTGTCTCTTCAAAGCATAAAAACATGGTGATTTCCACAGGTATCTTAATCATCAAAACAAATTAAAATATTAGGATGATGGGCTGAATTCATAAATACAGAAAATAATCACTGAAGAACAGCTCAGTGCCCCACTGGAAGAGCAGCCCCACTCCCAGGACCTCTCACCAGTCAAAGCCATGCCAGGGAGAGATCCACCCAGCTCTGCACTTTTATTGTCATGGTACTTGCACTTAAAAAATAATTCCTCATGTAAATGAACAAGGAGGTAACGTGTTATCTAACTTAGCAGTAGTTTCCAGATGGACATTTCCCATTTAGTGACCACTGCCAGTCACACAACTTTCTGTGGCAGTTCCTTGGGGCTCCTGGGGCGTGGGAGCTTCTGGGAGAGCCCAGAGAAGCTGAGAGCAGCCGGTACGCAGGGGGACAGGGCTCTGAGAGGAGCTCCTGTCCCCTTACCAAGGAAACTCTCGTGTCCACTCTTTAAAAACCAGTTCAGGACATTTTTATTGCTGTTCCAAAGTACAACTTAAAAATTTGGAGACAGGCTCCTATAAAAGTGCTGGAGGAGTAGGTTAAATCCATATGTAAACTATACTGCACTATTTCCTTATTCCTTTTAACACAAATCACTGGAATGTTATACCTAACATGTATGTGCATTGTAAATATTACAAATTCCTATATTAGTGCCAACAAATTAAATTACACAAAATGTAATCTAAGGTGCTCAGTACTATATGAAGTCTAAGTGAATAACTAAGCAGTTTGCAAAGAAAATTCATATTATATATATTTATAGAAAAAAATTAATGATGATTACAGATGCTATTTCTTCATTTTCAGATTTTGGACTGATTCATATTTGGATGGGATAGACAAATGAAATATGAACCTACTCCACATTTATAAGAGTATAGTGAATATTTATATTTTAGAGGAAAAGAATATATTTAATAAAGTCATTTATTGGATTTTTGTGATGTGAGCTTACTTTGTATCCAGACAAACTATCTGGAAGGTTGACCTTTGGTTTTGGGCTAGGAGAAATACATTTAAACTTCAGTGCTTCTGTTAAGAATTCTGTTACTGGAGGGAACTGTTAATTGCATTGGTGGAATGACTTAAAAATTTAAAATTAAAAAAAACAACCTGAAATCCCACAGGGATGTTTCAGGGCAAGTCATTCAGACATCTCTGCTGAAGTTGCAATGCCTTTTCTTGTTGCTTATACCGGACTAGGTGGTAACAGAAGACTTACAAAAAATTAAGAAAAAGCAGAAATTTCTGCTCAATCTTCTGCATTCAAGGACTGAGGCCAACATGTGCCTTTTTTCTCTTATGAATGGTTATGGGAAAACAATTGTTTTATTTCTCCTTTGATTTAATTCTTAACTTAGTGGCCCAAATAGAAAAGCTAACTGTGGGAATTTAAGCCTTTTCTTTCAGTCTGACCCAAGTTATGACAGAACAGCCTTGTGGAAAGCCTAAAAAGGGACATTCCAGAATTTCACTCTTTTCACAAAATAATTACTATAAATGGAATGGTCTTATCAGAAAGTTTGTATAGCAGCTTCACCATGAGAAAGACTGGGATACATATTGGAGCAAAAATGTTATTGGAAAAATGTGATGTAAAGTGTTTGTTAAAAAAAATAAAGCTGATCTGATTGTGTTCAGGGAATCATCCTGGTGTTTCTGACAGTCCTGCCCTTCAAATGGAACCAGCATCTCTCTTAAGGTACTTTAGAAATCAAAACAAGACTCTTGACATACTACAAAGCAAATCAGCACCACAAACACCACTAGAATTAATCCTTTGCAAATAACAAAACAAGTGTTTTCCTTCTGCAGAGTGTCAGAATTTCTTTCTCCCACAGGACATGGCATCACCCTCCTCCACCCAGCTCATTGCATTGGGAAGCTCAGCTGATTGGAAGGGAGACTGATCTGATTTCCAGCTGAGAGCATTCTCAGTGTGCTTTTACCCATGCTTAAAAGTTAATTGGAGCTTCTTTGGTTTCAGTAGAAGCAGAATCAGAGCCGGAAGAAATTATGTGCTCCAGATCATTATACTACCATTGATTTCTAAATTTATGTTGTTTTCCATAAAAGTCAAACTGGCAGATTGATAACTAGCTAGTTACTGAATCTATTTACTATATAGAGAGACCATTAATACAGTATATATTACATAATTTTATATATTATGGACACTTTTGAATTCAGTGGTGACCTCAATTTTAAAGAACAGATATTAATAATATGCTTGCAGAATTTTGAGAAACTCAGCCTGCTTGCTTAAAGTGAATCCCCAGACTAACCAGGACAAAATTTTTATTTAAAAGAATGAGGGGAACAACATTTTAAATATTTAACAGAGATGACAACCTCCTGTTGAACATCATCACCTCCTTTTCCCACATGGGATTAGCTATTCTTTTTTTTTCCTTCATCAGAATTTCTATGCTTGTGTAAATAATTAGAGGCATTAGGAAACAAATTCAGAAAACAAATTCCAAGGGAGAACTGTGAGCTAGGACAAAGAAGTTTATGGATTTGGGCAAGCGTTAGTACCCAAGCTAAGTTCTGTGGTAGCCCAGTGATACTCATAATGTAATTAAAATTAATTGCTGTAATATTACAAGTAATCATATCACCAAGTAATTGCAACCACATCAGTGCTGTCTTACCTCTATCCTGTGGGGAATATAAGCATGTAACATGAATGGATAATGTGCTTTTACATATAATGCATAATGTTATTATGCTATGCTATGTTATGTTATGTGCTTGTTATATAGATGGATGGATTATGGGTAAACCAGAAATGTGTAATGGTGAATTTGATTTATATCTTGATTTGCAAAAACATGAAAGCAAGCACCCAAAATATGCATAGGTCAGACTGGATTTGGGGGGTTCAGCAGTCACAAACAAGAAAATAGTTTGAAGTTCAGATTCAAAGGGTGATGTTACATTCTGCATCACTTAAGTTACAGCATATCAGCCAAGATGCAGGAACTCTCAGTGTGGGGTTTTGGAACTATGACAGATGTAAAATAATTTGGTGAAGTGCTGTTGCAGTGGACCAGATCAAATTATTATGCCTACTTTTTTGTAGGTTAACAGCATGGACAGGGACAGTTATCACAGCTCAAATGGGGCACAGTGTTATTAAGCCACAATATTAAACCAGCTAACCACTTGTCCTAAAAAGCCACTAACACAAAGAGCAAATGAGACATGGGTAGCAGTGTATTAGTTCTGCACTGGGAATTGTGCAGAAAACCAATACATCAAAATGCTTATGTTTCCCTAACTGCTTTCCTGCTGATTATTTCAGGCCAGTCTTTGAGTCCACAGAATTAATTAAACCAATAACCATTGGGTTCTACTTGAAGTACAAGAAAAGCAGTTCAAATTATTAATTACTTTCCTGAAGGTATTTTCTTTGCTCATGGCAGCTAGCCTCAAGGATTTATGAAATGTAGAGCTTCTGTACTTTTACTTATCAACTTTGGTATTATTATTAACTACAAAGTTTTTCTAATTACAAATATATAAACTTCCCAAAATTAAGTAGAAAACACAACTCTCAGTGGCTTCCTTTAGTATTCAGACAAAAGTATCAGCATTCAGGCTGAAGAGATAAGGCTACAGCTTACAGCTTTTCTCTCTCTGGAAGTAGAGCCTTTCCTGATTCACTGTAAGATGTTAAGAAAGGTTAATGTCTTGATTACTTTCTTGTTTTTATATTGAATGCAAAGAAACATGAGCCATACACAGTAATCATTACATTGGAGCAATTCTGTGCATGCACTTATTATTAGATGATTATTTAAATAACTCTCTTCATTTCATTTCTATTTCCCCAAATCACTAAAACTGGGATGCTGTGGATGTGTGGCATTCTGCAGACAAATGAAATCCATCTGACAAGTAGTTATGTTTGTCCTGGGCTTAGATGCACACAGTACTCACTAGAGCCCACTGTCACAGCACAACAACTGCAGAGCTCTCCTCTTGCAGCTCAGTTAAACCAAGTACACACCCAGCCAGGAAAGGTCTTGTAGAGTTCAGGACTGGTAAACTTGGGAACAAAGGAACCGAACAGATGAACTCAAGATCCTGTTAGACATGAAAAACATCCTTAGAGCTTAGCTTTACGCCAGATAGAATTAAGCAAAGAATAATGTCCCAAAATCAGGAAGGTTCTTTAGAGAAAGCACAGATTTTACAGTATTAAGTCTAACCTCCACATGGTTTAGTTCGATTATTTTTTCACAATATTACATTTCATTTATATTTGTATTGCTTAATCTATTTTCCTCCTGGGATAATATAGCAAACAATAGCCCTGCATCTCTATCAGTTTTAATCCTGTTAGTTTATATGATAAATAGGAAATCCTTCATACAGAAAGCTTAGTAGGAACTCCACATCTCAACAAAATACTAACTTGAATAATTACATTAGTCCCAGCCAGATACATGCCAAAGATTAAACAAACAGAGGCCAAATTTAGTATTTTACTGTGTTTGCAACACAGCCAGAAACTCTTTTTTTCCTTACATTTCAGCATAGCACACCAGCTCTTTTCCAGCTCTCACCATCCTCATTACCACTATTGCTTTGATTTTCTCCTCTTCCAGGAAAAGAAATCTCAGACCTCTCCTTAGATATTTTTCTAAGGAGTGTTACAAAGAGCATGCAGGAAATTATACTGAAAAGTCAGCTTGCAAAACAAAGAAACTTTCTTTAATGGGACCTTGCACCATGTTTCAAGCCATGCTTTTTTCTTCCTTATATTACAACACAGAGATAATTATGGTTCAAATTCTGATTGTGTTTGTTTTCACCTGCAGAATAGGAACTGTTCTTAATTAGTATATAAACTGTCAATGGCTGATGCTGTAAACAGCTTTTATACAAGAGCTAGCTGAAGGAGAATAGAGATCTTCACACAAAAAGGAAAAACAAAGTAGTAGTTATCAAAATTAAATATGTGGGAGTATTTATTCATATAAAAACCAATACACTGGTTGAAAAATATACAAAGCTTTAAAAAATCAAGTCAAGCTATATTAGTTTTAACAAACGTAATAAATACACATATAAAATACAACTTCTTTTGATTTGAATTAAAAAAAAACATTAAAAACTTTCAGTATAAAAAGTTTCCAACCTTGCTCCAGTGCTTGAAGAATGAGTCTATATAACTCCACTGACCACAGTCCTCCCAGTGTGCAGATCTGTGTGCGCATTGGGCAGGGTAATGCTTCTCAAGTCAGAAGTGCTGTGTCTCCACAGCTCCTGGGAAGGTGTGAATAGAATCCACACAGTGCCTCTACTTGCTAGTCTTCTCCAAAACCCATTCAATCACCTGGACAAATAAATGAGAAAGCAAACAATTTACATACCTCCCGGTTTTGAAAGCAAATTAAGAACAGCTCATAGTTATCAATTCTTTCTTTAGTCCTTTGTCACCATCTGTGTATTATTTATTAAACAGGATTTAAAAGCAAACTACTCAGGAGAAGAAGGTATTGTTAATAATCTGAGAGGATATAGCATTATCCTAGAATTGTATTTAATCTTACAGAATGCTTTGTCTTCAGGAAAAGGCATTTTTAGAACCCTTGAATTGAAATACTTCACCCCATTCTCTCCATATACCAGCAAGAAGGTGCACATAATGCCAAACAGCTCATGCTTCCAGCAGTAAAAGTTCCTAATGCCAGAGAAGAAAGAATGAGGGATAATTTGTGCACTGCTGTCTCTACCTCCATTATCACTGCTGCTTTCCAAACAGGGCAGTTGTTCAGACCACTGACTAAATACTCTCTAATACAGAGACATAAGCAGTTTAGGAGAACACCAATTTTAATGGTGTTCATTCGACAGCAAATATACAAAAAATGACCAATTTTCTGCTCAGACAAAGATGGAGGTGAGAAACAGTGTATCAGCACAATAGCCCAGTTCAACACCAAACATCACAACCCATATAGATTTTGAAACCTTATAGTCCATACAAAGCAATGCACAAAGGAATACAGCACAGAACACAGCAAATACTGCTCTCATAGAGTAAGTTCTCTGGGGATCTAGCAGCTTTCTTTCTATTACTTACCCACCTCAGTTCAAATTCTTCCATATAATTTATGATTATGAAAACTGCACTGTAATTCTGCATTACCCTTTTTTCCTTTTTTTTCCCCAAATCATGGAGTCACTTCAGTGTATGTCTCAGAACTCAGTACCAGAGTTACCTAATTTCTGGAGGAATATTTACTTCTGTCACTTGCTCTGTGCTGCTGAGCATGTAAGTCCCACATTATGCACAAATAACCCCACCTGATGTCCCTTGTGCTTACAGTTACTCACAAGCCTGAAATTACTCATTTTCATTGCTTCTTTTAAAAAATTTATTTCCTTTCATAGACCTGCTTATTACTTCCTAACCTTTGAAATGTTATTTCCTTCAACACAAGAAAATAACAACTCCCTAATGATCCTAATTAAAGAAAAATTTCATCTCTTTCTTTTTTTTTCCTGTTTGTTTCTTTCAGTGATGTAGAAACATTTATTGTCTTCATTTCTGTTTCTCACTGTGGCACATCATCTTGGCATCTGTAACTAAAATACCATCCAAAACCTGGAAATTTTCCCTTGGAACTACTGCCTGAGAGTGAGATCAGAGTGAAATGAGACCCACATGCATTTCTCCATCACTTAAAGCTGTGGACTAAACCATCCTGTGGCTATGTACAGAACAAATACACACATGGTCTTACCTGCTTAGCATTGCTATTTGCTGTTTTCTTCATTTCATCAAGAAGTCCTCTAGAAGTTTTTAGGTCCTAAATATCAAACAAAAAGCCACAGAAGTCAGCATACAGTCACTCTAATTTGGGTTATGTGAGCCCTGATAACCACGGCAGTGTTACACTTTTATCACCTTGTTCAGAACAAAAGAATAATTATTTGCCTTTGCTTTTTTAATAAAAAAAGGAAAGTAATTTAAATCTATTCCAATGGGTTGCAGTTTCCTTACAGCAGTCTAAACCTAGTACTCAATTATGATTGAGTCTTCCTAAATTTCTGCATTTTTCTGCACAATTTCCAGATTTTTTTCTTCAATGATATTCAAAGTTCTCAAAGTCTTGACTGAAATCCTGTTTCTATATAAACATGGAAATCAGCTGTGAGCTTACCCTGTAATACAGAGTTTTGGCAAAGAACAGAGAAGCAGACATCAGAAAGGAAAACCAGTGCAGAAAAGGGAAAAAATCTAGAATGGCTTTTCTGTTTTGCAGTCCATTTAATGAGTCCAACATCATCTACTCTTCTAAACAAAGCAACAACAAAACCTTGCCTGGAGAGAAAGAAAATGCATTTACTACTTGCCTCCAGAGGAAAATGATACCTATGTTACCATGCTTTTGAATTATGCAGCACACAAAAGATTCAAAGGATTCCCACAGACTTGGAGTTGCAAGACAGCTCAGGAGAAGACAATCCTGTGACACCTCTCTCTAGAAAGGACAGGATCACTGCCATATTCTTCCTTTTCCTTTTCTACTTGAAATAGAACCACAAACCCTGATTTGCTCTACTTACACATCCCTACCTGCAGCCCTTTCTGATTTTGGATTAGGAGATCTTCCTTCGGGGCATATTTCAGGGAGATGTTGGGAGCACTTACAGAATGACTGCACAACTGTGTTCCAAATTATTTAAGAAATTGGTGCTTATCAGCAAGATGTTCTGACTGTGTGAGCATCCAGCCCTGCTCAACTTTCTTTTAGCTTAAAGCACCATTACTGGAGTTGACTAAACTGAGCTGGTTCACCCACAGTTAAACACATGCAAATGAACAGAACAGCAGCTCAGCTGGTGAGCAATAGCTTTTAATCACTCCATACTGTAATTAACTTGATTTTGTGCTCAGACCAAGTAATATGGGCTTCAGCATTGACTCACAGTCTCCTAGGTATTGTGGAAAGAATTCTCATCTCCCCCTAAACATGAGGTTGATGCAATTCTACAGGGTGCTGCTGAGCCAGTATGTGTTAGCTAACAGAGAACATCATGTCAGGGAACTGCAATTTCTGAGTCAGTTCTGTAAGATTCTTATTGAGCCAACAACCTTAGAACAAAGTAGAAAGCTGAGCTGTCACAGCTACAACTGCGAGATACTCTATTGCCTCCTCAGCTGCTGCAGCCCTTAGGAGTGACCTAACCTAACAGGCCCATGTTTTAGCATATTATTTCACTATGTATAAAAGGCTACTGCTTTAGAAGGTTTTAAAACAAGCAAAACCCCACCAAATTATATTGCAAAACTACCTTCTCCATTTGACAACAAGTCTAAAGGTCTCTCCTCACAATCTACACATGACTAACACACCACTGGGAAATATTAGCTTAATCAACTCTGAATATCCCACATGCTATCTCAAGTTTTATTTAGGTGGTTTCACTTAACTAAGAATAAAGAGCTGTAAGAGTGTGTCTTCTAGTTACCTTTAAGTAGAATTTTGATATCTCAAATAGACGCTGGCTGCATGATGCAAAGCACTTATGATCTTCTGCAATTCCATGTTTTTGAAGAGTCTTAGCAACCACCTCCTTCAGCATCTTAGAAACAGAAGAAAACATACTCAGAAGTTCATCCCAACTATTGACATGAAAAATTGTCCATGGGAAGCAAAAAAGCCCAACACAGAAAACCTGATCTTTTGGGACCTTGCCTGCCTTCAATTTATTGCCAAATGTGATCAGCTCACTGCCTGAATCGGAGCAGTTATTTAACAGTCTATCTCCATTTCCTTCATTTTAAAATATTAAAAAAATGCTTACATGTCAAAGATCAGTGAACAAAGATCACATGGAGCTTGGAAGATAAAAAGGAAGTCAATATTATCTTGGGGTTTTTTTCTCCAAAATAATATATATAAAATTATCACTTTTTGCTGTACTTGTTTGATACATGCATATTAAAAAAAAATTTAAAATCTGACACTAAAGTCTCATTGGATAATTTCCTCTGACATTCTTTACATCAGAGATGTTTAAACTCTGCTGTAAGTCTGAATGAATCACACCAATTTATGCTTCCTTGGACCATTCCAGCTTGCCTTTGACAGTACCTTAAGATTCTTGCAGTGTTCTTCTTGTACCCTGGGATTAATTTAAAATTTGTATCACCAAGTCAGAAATAGTTTTGTACATTGTATTTTAGAAGAGGCATTCCTAATATACACAGCTAATAATTAAACATTATTCCACCAAATTATTTAACTGCTATCTCAATTAATGGATTTATAAAACTACAGAAATCTCTTTATTCTCAGACTAGTCTGTTCCTCCATGATGCCTTTGACCCTTCCAGAACATGTATGTCTTTGGTGCCTTTAGGTTTTACATTAATCATCTATATTTCATAACTCTTATTAATTGCTATTCATTTCCATCTTTTTATTCCTCATTGTCATCTCTCTCAGCCTTAATTTTCTGGGCATGATAAAATTATCTTTGCACACTTTTTCATTCTTTGCTTCTGCAGCACCCTTCTCAGTGATTCACTTACACAAGTGAACAGAATGACATTCAGTAACAAAAACTAGTTGAAGATAATTCACCTTGTGTTAAACAATGTTTACAAATCAAGTCCCATGGAAGGAAGTTAAAGAGCTCTTCTTCACTAGGAGAACAAGGCAGATTTTTACCCTGGTGTGTTTCTGGGATCTCGACTCCTTCTCTGGCCTGGCAGGCTCGGGCTGTGCGGCCGGGCCGGCGCTGGCGGCAGCTCGGTGGCCGTGGCCGGGCGGCTTCGATGGCGCTGCAGCCGCACCAGGGGACCGGGACCTGTCCCTGTCCGAGCGCTTCCTCGGCACAGCCACTGCACGGTGACTCCTGCTGCTGCTCCCCCCTGCCTGCCACAGCAGCGACTCTGTGCTCTCACATCTGCTCAGCCTACAAAGAACAGGAGAAAACCCTATAAAAGTCACTCGCAGGTTTTGTACCGACTCTTTTAGTGCCGTTGTTTCTGCCAGAGAGGCTGCTGCTTCAGAGCAGTAAGGACTGAGCATTCCTGCAAACAACATCTGAAAACAGCAGATAGGAAGACAGGATTCTATTCTATAGAATAATTATGTATATTATGTATATGTATATTTATGTGTAAATATGTAAAATATTTTGTATTAGAAGAGCACTCTGCTGACTGGATTGGGCTGTGATATGTAGAGACCCACTGCACCTCTGATTAAAAAGATCTAGAAACAAACTGAAGAAATCAGGTAACAAAGATAATAAAACTCTTGGGAAGAGAATTCATCTCCAGTCTTCGGATGAGACAAAACTTCTTCAAACTATCTCATTTCTTTTGGCCCTACAGGAATGTCACAACTCAACTACAGAAAGTTGAGCATCATAATTCTATGGGAACATTGTAATCCTTGATCCTTCAACTGTAAGAGCATTAGTAATTCCAAATGCCAATTTACAAAATGTTAAGTATAATCACATCTTCTTTTCTAACTATACAGTAAGCTGCAAAAGATATACTTATTTCTAAAATCAGACTTCTGTTAAAGGCTTATGGTGATTGGAATGTAAAGGCTATCAACCTGGAAATAAGGAAGAAGTGAAGTATTACAGTAAAAAAGTGAATTTGGAAATATTGTTACCTAGCAGCTATTATTCAGTGATAGAGTTTGCATCTTCTGAGTGAGGACAAGATAGAAAGGGAAATCTTTAAAACTAAACTTCCAGAAAAGACTTTAATAAACAAGGCTGACAATAAGATTGGATTTTGGTAGGTCATCTTATGCCAGCAGTCCTTTGGATGAGAAATTCAATTATTCTGTTTGTACAATCCTTGGCTTTCTAAACCTTTAGCTGTTTATTCGTAGTACAGGACCCCTGACTGTTTCAATCCTAGATGAAGCTGTCATCTTTTCAAAGGCACTTGAGACTGCAGAATATAACCCCAAATCTGTTAAAGAAAGTGTGCCTGTGCTGCATGGTTTTGATTAATCTAATGCCATTGATCAGAGATCACACTTGAGGAAAAAAAAATGAACCTACAGAAGAGGATTAAACAACTAGAACATTTGCCTAGATAGCTTCACTAAAACATTTTGAAATGAAAAGATGCAGCTCACAAGAGACCACTGAAACATTTCATGCTAAAGATTCATTTTATTCAGTGCATTACCTTTTCTTGGGATAAAAGTAATCCAGGTCTTTTGATCTGCGTTTTAGCCTTGATGTCTCTGTTTTGAATTCACTTTGCAAAGTCTCTCCATCAGGGACACTTCCAGGCTCTGACAAGACTGCAGGAGATGGGAGAGGACTCAGGACAAGAGGCACAGGGCAGCACTCTTTGGTGCAAGTAGTCTGAGTTTCATAGCGAATAAGGCGAGTTTGAAGTTCAGCATATCCCACATCTCTCTCCAAGGCTCTTCTGTCATCAAGACAGTATCTAAAATTGAAATTGGGTGAGAAACCTGTGAGAGAAAGTCTCTGTTTTATTGCAATCAAGAAACTTACTTTTGACAGTCATGTGAACTCCAAAGCCTTTTTTTTGTTTGAACTGCTATACTGTTCTGAAATACAACTTTTAACAGCCCAGTAAATTAATATTTGCCTGGGTTTTGCTCTACTTAAGTCCAACTCCAACAAAGAAGCTGAATTATATACTATTTATAACTCTTTACCCCGTTCTTGTAAGATTCAAACTCTTTGAAATGCAACTTTTAGCTTTGTCTGAGACAAACACTGCTATATGAGGATTCACATTTTTTAAGTACTAAAAATACAAAAAAGTATCACTGAAGAAGCACAAGCTTCCTATTGACTACAATGAATAAGTGGTTTGATCAACCAAATCAACAGAACAAACTGTAATAACTACAGTGGGGCTGAAAGATAACAAATGAACAAGTGCTAACTCAGTGAAACACACATGAGGTAACACAAAATGCATCCTAACTAACTTTTCTCTGGTATAAATGATTTCCAGGATTACTTGCAAGAGAACAGTGTTTCATCACCCAGTAACTTACTGTAGTGCAGGGAAAGGTAACAGTAAACCCCGTCTTATTCCAGCCTCCGTTACAAATTATTTTAAGCAGCGTGAGCTCTTGCTCTGCCCACCCTTCAAACTGCTCAGCAATGTTTCCTACTCTCAGGAATGCAAGACACATTCTTTACTTTTATCTCTTGGCATGGAGTCATGTTAAATTGCTAGTTCTGATGTTTCCATTTTCTTCAGAGTATTTTCATATTCAGGGAGAAAATAATTTTTCTAATAACTGGCTGATGAATCAAATTTCTACAGTTGAGGAAGACTTTCTACTAGAAATAAATTCATTATCTGATAAGAGAGTAAGCTGTCTGAACTTCAAAATTTCAAGGTATTTAATTTTTCTTATTTATATTCTCAGTACCCTGAGTAGTCACATACCCTACAAAGATAAAAAAATCCATTTAGCTTTAGAAGTTAAATTGCTATTTTACTCACTGCTTTAATGGCAATTGCTTTCTCTGTGCAAAACAGCATTCAAGTGTCTGGCGCATGTTCATTACACCAAAAATTTGACTTAATCATAAATAGGAACAGCCTCACATTCACAAGTCCTGGTCTTCATGGGGGACTTCAGCCATCCAAATAATCTGTTGGAGGGCCAATATGTAGGACAGAGGCAATCCAGGAGGCTCCTGGACTGCACTGGTAACTTCCTTCTCTGAGTGAGGTGAGGTGCTGTGCTGGACCAAGAAGGAGGGGGTGGTGGGGAATGTGAAGCTCAAGGGCAGCCCTGGCTGCAGTGACCATTAAATAGAGGAGTTTGGGATCCTCAGGGCAGCAAGGAGAGCACACAGGAAGCTCACCCCTGGACTTCAGGAAAGCAGTTTGCCATTGACACAGAGCTCTGTGGCGTGGTCAACACTAGAGGGAAGGGGTCCCATCCAGAGGCTTGAGAGATGGCCCTGTGCAAACCTGATGAGGTTCAACAAGGCCAAGTGCAAGGTCCTGCACCTGTGTAAGGGCAATGCCAGCAATAATACAGGCTGAGTGAAAAATTAATTAAGAGCAGCTCTGGGGAAAAAAATGCGAGATGTTGGTGTCCCTGCCCATGGCATGGAGGCTGCAATTAGATGATATTTAAGGTCCCTTCCAACTCAAACCATTCTATGATAACTGCTGCTCCTTGGTTTTTTGACAAGACTTTACCTCCAAATATAAATACAGCAGCTGGGCAGATGAAAACTGCATAGTACCAAACACATCTGAATACTCTTGTTACAATATGTTCTGGTCCTAAGCTACCTCCCACTCTACTGCTTCCCTCCCATTCTGCTAAGCACATTGCCCTTGCAATATTAATATGCCAGGATCTTCCTCCTCTCCACAACACCCTGCAGTCTATATCTGTCCCATTTTGCTAGAAGGGGCAGCACAAGCTGTGCTGTGCCTAATTTGGAATCTCAGGCACACTCCTTGCTGAGGTCAGGCAGGGCAGCAAGATATCACACAGCAACAAACAGCAGACAAGTGGTTTCTTCCCACACCTACCATATGCATTTCTCTTTTCTACCCAGTTGCCTCTCTGTGCCTCTTATTACAAATCTAAAAAGGCTAACAGGCTCATGAATTACTGCTTAGAAAAAGAGATAACTAAAGAGATAGGAGTGCTCCATTGCCCTATAAAACTTGGCTAAAATCAGCAGATACTAAATACAGACTTAATCAAACTATTTGTAAAATCAATAGGGAAAAAATACCAGCAGCATTGTCAGTCAATTCTGATAATGTGATTTCAGGAGGCAGCAGAAGCTTGCACAAAAACTGAACTAACTATGCTTGGTATCCACTGCATTTCTTAATATATGCTGCATTAAGACTGTCTCTATGGAAGAGTTATGCTTAATTATCTACTCCAGCATTTCTATAGCCTTTTTCCTTTTCTTCTCAAGGTCAATATTTGTACTTTTCTAGACTATTTTTATACAGCTACATTATGTGACAGTTTGCCCATTTGTCTGCTTTGACAAATAACTATTGCTGGCTGGCTGAGATGAACTAACAGTCCCAGCCATATGGCTCCTTTAGAACATCCTTACCACTAACACTTGCCTGCTGGTGTTTTCAGGCTCCCTGAACATTCAGGTAGCAGCAGCATCACAGCAGGTCTCATTAAACCCTTTGACTATCAGTCCTAAAGTGTCAACAATTAAATATCAAAGCAGAAACTATGTATGTACTTAAAACATGTGCTTCACTAGGAACTTGATATGTACTAATTCCCTTGCCATTTGTAGCTCTGAATTAAAATTTTCAGACACATTGAGGAGAGACACAGCAGTACAACTGAGAAAAAAAGACCTTCAATGTTCCTGCATTACCATCAAGGCAGCAATGTTGCAATTGAAACCAGTGACATTTAATCCATAATTAACACAGCCTTAACATGTTGCTTGAAACATTTCTAATTACACTTAGACTGGAAACTAAAAAGTAAATCTGAGAAAAGAAGGAAACTTACTCAAGTCCATGGTAATGGCATCCAGCTGCTTTTTCAAAAGGCAAACCTCTGAGTTTTCGAGGAGTAAGGTCTGGTGTCAAAAGAAATGCATTTTCACTGAAAGGAGGAAAATAAAGATCTATTTTAACCAGTTACCTTCAGGATAAATTATACTTCCAAAAATCAGAAACAAATGCCTTCACATATGAAGAACAAAACAGCATGTCTTGCAGCTAAGCCCTGAGGATAAAGCATCAATGGAAAATTAAATCTGTACTGAAGTGAGAATTTAAGTTCAACTAATTTCTACTGAGCTATTATTGTTGCAGAAGCTCTTAGACATTTCTTAGATGGTTATGGTCACTGCTCCAAACAAGTTATCAATAAAACTAGGCAAATATCACAATGGGACAACTGAGTGGTAGAATGAGCTGAGAGGAACTGGGAAGTGACCTCCCATTTCTCAATCACACACTGTAAGTAGTGAATTCCTTCTCTTCAAATTGTTGCCTCACCTAACACTCATCTTTCCCAGCCTTCAGAACTAATGGCTTGTTTCCTGGGATATTTCAATTCCAGCTAGCAACTCTCTACAGCTAAATCATAAGAGTGTATTTGTTTGAGGGTATTTCAAGGGAATAAGCCATAGCAAGGCAGATAGAAAGATCCTGCTGCCAGATCTCAACATACCCTGACATTTACCTCTAAAGAAGGGAAGACGAAAAGGCAAGATGTAACAGAATCTGAAACTTACACACTGCTTCAGATTTTATTCATATAGACTGCCTCTACATCATTTCCACTGGAATAATCTGAGAAAAACATCCAGGAAAGATGTGATACCGAATCTAGCAAAATGATAATTTGGAAAGACTGTCAGCCAAAACTGTAATCTATCAAACTTCTATCTAAGCTCAAACACAGAAAACAAGTGAACATGCCTTTAATTCTCTCTCAAAATCTCTTAAATCCTTCTATTGGTCAGGAAGATCCTTAGGTCCATATTCACTGTTCTTGATCACCTACTGTGCAAAGCTCCTCATAATTCCAGAGAATTTACTCAAAGCAACTGCTAGGGGAGTGAGCAGCTCGGAGTACAGTGTTCTGCTGGACTCAATTCAAATTCAGAGCTCACTCATCTGTAGCTCAAAGCAAATCATTCAAGACACTCATAGTATTCTATGCTATAGTGCTTCTCTGGAGGCTTTGAAAAAAATCAAAGACTAAAAAAAGTTCTTTTAGTGAAAAATTATTCACTTCTTTCTCACACAACCAGTTGGAAGGAAAATATTTTAGCCAAAATTCTAAATCTTCTCCACTCATTAACAACCCAGCAGGAGATTCTAAATCTTTACTGCATATTTTTTAATTTGCTTGAATTGTCTGCTCAGAACATATTCAGTTTAGTTTCAAAACTTCAAACTATTTTAGAGAAGTCTCAAAAATCCTACAGAAAATCCAAAATACTACAGAACCTTTCCCTTGCACAAGCACTCTTATTACATATAATGAAGTCTGAAAAATTATCAAGGGCTGTATCAAACAATTGCATCATAGTTTCTATTATTCAGTATTAAAAAGGTCAACAAATATAACTGTAGTGACTGCAAAGACTGTCTTGCCTACCTAGCACTCTGTGACACACTGCACAAAAATAGTAGAAGTTCTGCTTCTACAAACACCATCTGACTCTCATAGAGTCTGGCCTTAACTCTAATAGATGTACAGATCCTGAAAATTATTCCAGTAACTCCATTTAACTATAAAAAGCATGACAGGATACAAACACAGTTAAATAGGCTCAGATATTTTCTTGTTTTGTCTTCCCACCTAGACTCCCCTCCACTGAAAGAAATCACACCCAAAAAATTAAAGCTCTACCACAGTAGCTTCTGCTTTACTAGAAATACTCTTTTGGAAATGGACATATAGGGCAGGAGCAGTTTGGCAGGGCTCTACCAGTAACCAGTTTGTTGTTCAGGTGATGATTTTGTTATTTAAAGGCCTAGGACCAAGATCATCATCTCCAGCCATTTCTGAAAGAACTAAATAGCAATACTGACTGGAGACCAAAACAGTTGAATTCACTGACAGGCATGTGACATAAGGATGTTGAAAATTATAAAGTCAAATCCAGTTAGGCCATTCTGTGAATCCCATTCCACCCTTTTTACACCCCCTACATCAGCTGTGAGTTTGGTGTTAGTGGCTCTAAGATGCTCTTACCGCTTGGGAACTTGCAGTGGCTGGAGCTCCCCCACGGGCAGCCCCTCTGGGGTGAAGAACTTGAGCAGCTCTTTGGCATCCAGCAAGGTCAGGGACTCCCTCTGGCTGTCCTTGTGTCCCAGCAGCTGCTCAGGTGAATGTGCAAACAGAGGAACTCTGCAAAAAAGGCAGCAAGCAAAGACCAATCTAAGATTTATTTTTTTTTTTAATAAACTCAAACTCATTTAATATTAAAAAAATATGAAATCATTGCTACTCTGGAGCAATTAAACTAGTACCAAAGTAAAATGAACAAAGTTGCTCCTTGAGAACATTAACACAAATGTTCATGATAAAGAACATAATTGGTGCAAATTCTCTAAAAATTCAACTGAAGAAAGTAGTTTCTTCAAGAATTTAGAGCGTGGTTATGAAATATAACATGGGAAGATGATTATTCACCCCTTTTTTCTGTTTTTTGACCAAAAATTGGTTCCCATAAAAAAAAAAATTACACAATATACAGGAAAGGAACTATACAGTCACTACTGCATGCAACCCTCCACTCTTTTAGTGTCTTCAATCAACTACATCAAAGTTCTCCCTTTGTAAGCAACACATTGTATCCTGACACAGGATAAGAAAGAGACTCAGTTCAGATTATGAACAATAAAATTAACACTGACTATGTAACAGGAAGGTCCTTTAGGAAGCTTTTTGACAGCTAATTAAAAGGAAGAACTTTGTCTGTTTGAGAAATAAAAGCCAATAATAATAACAATAATGATGATGATGATGATAATGATGATACCACCATGAGAAAGCTAATGTGAGAATTTACCATGTGCAGAACTCCAATCTAAGCCATGGCCACCTATGGTACTTGAGAGAAATGGGATGGAAGTGACTCAGAAAAGGACAGCTGGACACTTGCCTCTACAGGTCTGTCAGCAAGAACATTAACATTACCAAAGACCATTAAGCCACAGAATCACAGCACAGGCTGATTTGGAAAGGATCACAAGGATCACTGAGTCACCTCCTGGCCCTGCACAGCACCATCAGCACCCTGTGCCTGAGAGCATTGCCCAAACTCCCCCTGAGCTCTGTCAGGCTGGGGCTGTGACCGCTGCCCTGGGGAGCCTGCTCAGTGCCCAACCACAGCCTGGGTAAAGAACCTTTATCAGATACCCAACCTAAACATTCCTTGACAAGTCTTATATAAAAGTGAGAGCTCAACTGAAATCAACAGGCTGTCTTAAGTGACACAAAGACCTATGGGTTTCATGTGAACAGTACTGAAGGCAAAACATAACTAAATATAAATTTAAACATAAAACCAATATGCTCTTTGACTTCAAAATTTTTACTTGGTATATGATATCAACTATTGACTATCAACTATTGATATATGTTATCAACTGACTATTTAGGAAATATGAGAAGATTAGAACACGTTGTACATGTTGACAAAAACAGCTAAATTATTTATATTTATTAGGGTATGTTGTGAGAAAGAAAAGCTTTTGTATGTTTTCCTACTATTTTCTAGAATAAACTACACCTTTGGAAATAGAAAAAAATATAGTTTTAGCCTTAAGCAATATTTTCTTTGAAAGATTATCAACATGTGAAAACAGTTTACACTATGGTTATCAACATATAAAGGTCCTCTATAGTAAAGTTTAATGGCTGCTCCAAAGAAAATCACCAGTATTTCATTATTACCTCATTTTTTGTTTGTTTTTTTCAAAGTTTTCTAAATTTTGAAGAACGTGTCTTTCTGGCCACTCCAATGGATTTGGCTCTATTAAGTCAGACTCTGCAAGAAATACATTTTGAACAAACCTAAATAAAGAATCTTATTCCTTAAAGAGACAGATATACAGTCCTTTATCTATAGATATTCCTCAATGCCACTCTCTAAAAGTATGTAAACAAAATACAACATTGGTGATGCAATCAGAAATGTTTTCTGGACTTTTTTTTGTCAAGGAAGAAAAAAGAAATGCAAGGGTAATTTCAGTTTGCAAAATAAGCCTAGAAAGCTGTTTTACTTTTTCTTTCCCCTTTTGTTAAAAATTACTCCTTTTAGTAAAAGATTGACAACCAGTATGAGAAAACATCCAAGGAAAATAAGCAGCAAATTTTATAAATAAAAATACTTACCACAAGTCTCAGTGCATGATCTGGTTTTATTGCAGACCTTCTGTAGAACAGGTTTAGGAAGATTAGTGCTGCACGAGTCCAAAAAACATTCTCTTGTGAGTTTTAATAAGCTTTTAAACTCATTGGTAGAAATAACTAGAGGCTGCTTGGTCAATTCCTTTCTTTCTAGAAAAGAAAAAATAAGAGGTACTGCATCTGCTTAGTAACAAAGAACAACAAGAGCCTGCTAAAATACAATTACACAAGAAAATCCCCACCCAGAACCCATAACAAAAGTAAGTTAATTTGACACTTACTATTGTACCAGTAAGACATGGGTGGTTTATCCCAAAGACAAGTGAAAAAACAGCAGTGAGAATAGCTGAAGTCACACATGATTCATGTTTTTATTGTCCTTTAACTTCTGGATGGATGCATTTCTGAGTGTATCCAGGTTTGAATCCCCCAGAGACAAACACCTGGACTTGCTGAGTCACTGTCAGCCTGTTCTGGTCTCTTTGGTCATAATATCAAGGGTCAGCTAATTTTGGTACGATTTAGGACAATCAGTGAATCCCAACTGCTCCTACTCAGCCTCTTAATGGAAATGGGTGACCCACTCAAAAGAAACTAAAACACAAACTCTAAAGCAGGTCCAGCCTCAGGGTTGAAGCAGACAGGAATCTGAGAATGACTAAGTTAGCAGGGAGTGTGGGGTGGGAGACAAGACTACTTACAGAAATCTTATTTTCATTAAGCTGCTATTCTGTTAATGATCATACACTTAAATTACCTCTACAGCATGCCATTTTCAATAAGCCAGACAATCACTCTGAAGTATTTTTTCTTTTAATTGAGTCTCTTTAAGCAATGGACTTAAGATGGAAAAAAAATCAGGACACTCAAATGGACTTCTCTGCAATGTCAAAAATCTAAGGAGGATGATCCTTCAAGTTTTTATTATGAATGATGCATTCATGATAACTCTAACAAATCTCCAATGCATGGTTTTCCTCTGCTGCTTAAGACTTTTCAAAGAAAGAGTAAAATTTAAAAAGCTGAAAAACCTAAACCAGAATTCTTATTTTTGTAGAAGGCATATCCAGCAGTAAAGGGGAAATCATCATAGAATTGCATAGAATTATTTCAATGCTATGCTCAAAAATTCAGAGTATTCATGTAACAACCACCAGCACTAATACAGTGTTCTCTTTTCCATTATCTGACAGATAAACATGGATGTACTTCCAAGTTTCTTTTTAAACTTGTGCTATTTTTTCATAAAGTGATTCACACACTTTGGTTGTCAAACATCTCCAGTTTTGTAAGGTGAGCCATCCCATCCAATGTGAAATAAAGACCTTTTAAATACCAGTTTGAGAATTACCAGAGCTTTCCCATTACTTACTGAGATACTCCTTCAAGGCAAAGACTTGGAGACGTGACAGTTTTGTTTCTCTCTGTACAATATCCTCTCCATAATAGCATGGCAGAGACTTGATAAAGTCAGAAACATGAAAGCCTGTACAGATTAGAAGAAATTTTTATTACAAATCTCTCTTTGGAGTCATTACTTAATAAAGGATATAAACATAGGAAACATAAAAATCTCATATTCAAAAGAAACAACGAGACTTTAAAATATGGCCAATCATTGAAAAATCAAACTAATTAATTCCAATTGAACATCAGGAGGATCATTTCAAAGAGATGCCTGACTATTTTTGAATTTCTGTACAAAACCTGTATAATGCCAACACAACATGACTAACATTTAAAGAAGGTAAAAAGATCCTAGGTTTGATACCACGTAAGAAAACTTTTCTCCCAACATATGGTCAAGTACTTTCAGTCTTATGACACTGTACTAATGGGATTTTAATTAGGATAAATGGCTGAGTAGTCAGTCCTACCACAGACAGATTTATTTCAATAACAAGGAATTAAGTAGCTAAGATGCAGGTCACTGTGCTCCTTTTCTCTGCCAGTGTTATTGAAACAAATACAGGAGTTAGTAGAGTTATCTGGTAGGTGCAGTTGTAACATGACAACTACTCCATGATAAATGGCTGCACACCTGCTCTTCCCTAGTGGAGCAGTTAGAATAGGAGTGCCAGCTCATACCTTAAACAATCTGCAGTAACATGGACATGGGCAAAGGGACTGAAGGTTATAACAAAACTCAACTTGTCTACGGGCCTTGCAGTTTTTATTTTAAATCATCAGTGAAACAGGACTTTCAAGAGATATTTACACAGATTTTTGGCATGGGCTGGTCAGTCTTTACACCAACAACACACACTTCCTGAACTTTAAGCTTCACAAATTTGTTTTGCATTAATATTACCTGTACATCCCTTTACAATAAACAAATTTCAACTTACCTCGATTATGAGAAATAAATGACAATAACTTTGCATAGTCAATTGTAAAAATATCGTAGCAGTAAATTCTGTGAATAAAAAAGCTCTTAGTATATTTTCTTATGGATCTGGAAAAGTATACTTAAAAGACACTTTCATAAAAGATGTAATATTTCTCCTTGTTTTCCTTCTTTTAATACTGACTGGAGTGAATAAAAGGAACTTACGAATTTTAGAACTTACCATTTCCTGCATTCAGACACTCATTAATAAATAAGTGATCACTCTTACCTGAATCTGTTTCTCCTGCTTTTGCCTTTAGCTTTCCATTTACTGCAGCAAGAGTAGCCATCCCATTGATCTGGCCAGCTGAATGAATCAAGGTTGCTTTACATCCTCCAGAGCCATTGCCTTGTACCAAGAAATAATATCGGCAAGATTCTCCTTTCAGTTCAATTTCTGGAACTTAACAAACATCAAGACATAACTGTCAAACACCCTCAGGAAAACATCTTTAAAACAAACTATAATCCACCATCAAAATTCTTTCATTTGCTTTCTTCTGTTCTGTGAGAAATCTTACTAATCACCAACCAAGAGTTCTCTAACTGGGCTAAGTAACAGGCAAGCCTTTAACTGGCAAAGTTACATTTTCACAGGAAATAACAAAGAGAAGTTTCTGTTCTGCTGGGTAAAACCAGGCCTTTCTGCATATGTGCATCAAAATAATGTAAGTGTTCAATGGACAAACATACAACCCTAGAAGAAAAGGAAGTATTATACACACTCTTCCCAAGGACACTGCATTATTCATTAATAAAAGCTTCACTCCCTGCTTTACCCTTGTGCCTGGATGAAAGATAAAGACATTCTATTTTTGAACACTGGCATATAGAATGCAGTTGTGAAAGTAAATTAATGTGGGACCTGACAGTAACAGTGAAAGGATGGGTTTGCTATCTTTCCACACAGAAAACATTTTATAGCACCTTGGAAGACATAGCGATAAAGATAATGAATACTTCTTGATGTACTAAATTTCAAAAATCAAATATTTTAATTTCATAAGATATCTGCAGTACTGTCTCAATAATTAACTTTATGAGAACTTAACATTTATTAGTATCATACATTTTTGTTAGCAAGAAATAACATATTCCTGTGTTTGTTGAAAATTTATAGTTAGACATGGGAAAAGAGGGCAAACCTCATCACTACCTCAATACATAAATTCAGAGAAAGAAAAAAGAACAATAAGGAAAAAAATGTTCCAGAAACATTGTCATATTGTCCTGCTTCCTATGTCATTTGAAATATATTCCTTTTCCTGTTTATCTTGGAATCTCAAAGCTGATTCCTGATAAATAAACTTTTATTTCACATTTTAATCTTAGCATTCAAGAACTATCGATACCAAGAATCATACCTTCCCCACAGATGGGAGAGATTAAGGATTCATAAATCCTTACTAGAGTGAGATTAGTGTTAGACACTAAAAAATAAACAGTTTTCAACTAAACAAAAGGCAGTGTTTCTCCTCCTATTGTAAATTTTACTCAAGAGGCTTAATAAGAACCTATTGTGTATTACTGATCACACAATAATTAATAGTTGCACAAAACCCTTCCACTGGAGCACAGGACAAATATCCTGCAAACACTGGGGATCTTTGGCTGCATCAGCAGTATCTCTCCAACAAACACAAATGCTGCTGCTGTGACCAGCTCCACACCCTCCATACACTGCCACTTCCAAACATGCAGAGATAACTTTACATCTATATAATGCTGATGCTGTTTGGGTTTTGCCTTTTTGCTTTTATATGTTCTCTGTATTTGTCACACATATATTTCTAACTCTGTCACCTATTGTATTAGTAGCTAGTTTTCCCAATACTTTTCCATGGCCTTTCCCTAACCAGAAAGACAAAAATTCCAGAGATCCAAGCGCCAGGAGGTACAAGGCCCCATGCTATCTTGGCTCTTCCTGGGAACCAAGGCCCAGAACAACTCTTTAAGATACATCCTCATGGACAAAGTACAACTAGTGCTGAAGGAGGGCTCCAGAGAAGGGGCCTGACCTGGGGGGAATTACATTACTACTCATCTTCCTAAGTGTTTTATCAATTATGCTAATTTCCTAAAACCTATAAATGTACTCATCCTCAGGGGGGGTGGGCTTTTGTGGACATCTTTCCATAACTGCCTCTGAAGGCCTTCATTAAAGATTCTCTTTTATATTACCTCCTCACTAAAATTATCTCAAGTTTCATTTCCAGGTTGGGAAAAAGGCAACACTGCCAGTACCCATTCCATAATTCCTCTCCATTTTTTCCTGCCCCTAAACCTGAAAAAAATATTAATCACAAATATGAGACATCCTGATCTGCATAGTTGTTTAAAAAAATTGTCTTAAGTTGGCAACAGAAATAGTCACTGTTCCTTGGAATCTACTTCAGTTATATGTTAGACCACGTATAAATGACGAGATTATGAAAGAAGGCAGAATCCAGCACTTCACTGTATCCCAGGTAAGTACTTTAAGCACTGGGTTACCACCAAGTTCCTTTGAGCCTGATGTTTTCATGTGCCTACAAACCTCTGTCACTGCTTGTACAGTGCCTCCACTTGCAGGGCACATTTACTGGCTGACTGAGAAACTTCCCACAGCCTTGGTCTGCACTGATTCTCTTCTCCCACCTTCTGAATCAGGTTTCCAAGCACTGGCACAGAGTGTGAGAGTCAGCTGCCATCACTGCAGCCCTACAGGGAGCACATTCTCAACCACAGATTTGGCACACTGGCTCCCAGGTGAATGGAGGCATTCAGCATTTCTTAATAGTCTGGTTTTTTCCCAGGAAGAGATTGAAATTAAATGCAAGTGCACTGAAGAACCTCTGGAAATCCTTAAACAAGGAAAGCACCTCAGTGAAGCAGACTGGAATTCCATTTGCAGAAGTACACCTCTCCACCATGGATTTTACAATCACTTTACAAAGATGTGTGGAAATTGGATCTTAACTGACAGACAGGACACAAAAATGGTTTAAAGGAGATGCCTTCTTTCCCCAAAGCTTGCCATTATGTTACCATTTTTCTTCCTACAAGTCTGCATAGCTGAACTTGCATTCACTAAATCTTCTGTATCAATGAAGATTACAATCACTGATTTGATTTCACTGAAGTTAGAAAGAGAATCCCAAATGCTCAGAAAAAACTCACCATGTATACACACACACACACACACACATACACATATATATATAACCAAACAAAATACACATACCAGAGATGACCTTGGGTTTCTTAGCCATGTATTCCTTCCATTTCTTGGAGCTCAGCTGGGCAGGAGATGGGATCACTACACTGCTTACATTGCATGGCAATGTAAATAAAGCTCCCACCTAAATAAGGAGAGCAAATATAACACATGCAATATCAGTGAAACCTGTTTTACACTTCATTTTTGAGCTACTGTTTTGACATTATTTCAAATCTAGTTGAACTGAAGAAAAACGTCTCCACTAAACATACCTGTCATTCACATCAATCAAAATGGAACTGCATTTGACACAAAAGCTGTTAAAATTGTGTTTACTTTTTGGTCCAATTAACTGCTGAATTTCCATTTCATACATAGCAAGGTATTTATTATATATTGCAAGTGTCTCCATAGCCTGGCTACAAACGTTTTTGTAGAGTAGGACAATGAAAAGAGAATTCAAGGATAACAGTTGGCACCAGTGACTCTGCATTCCTATGAAAAAAAATTCTTTTTTTATTTTCCTTCCAACATATTACCCTTGTCTCTTAACCAGATACTGGACTATGCCTATGTTTCTACATAGACTTCAGACCAAAAAGCACTAACACAAAAATTGCAGACATATTTGAATACTCAAGCAATAAAGCAATGCTATTATAGGTATTAGAAAAGCCTACAAATGTGCAGTATTTCCAGTAGGAGACTGAAAAAAATCCCTATGAGAAACTGTTATTTTCAAAATATATTCAATTCAACATGTGCAGACTCTAAAAAGTAACATGAGAATGTGTTTTTACTGTTTGGGCACCTTTAGAAACACTAGAAAAAAGTGAGCCCATGATTGTAAAAGGTGTATGACCAAGTGTTCAGTGTTCTTAAGTAAAATGAAGATTACCTGGGATATTTACCAGTATAAAACCATTTTAAGATACATTTAAGATACATTTAGTACAGCATTAAAAAAAGGACCTTTTCCTTTTCTGGCTAAGCTAATGGAGAATGGAGTAGCAGGGGAGAAAAAGAGTTACTAAAAACCCAAATAACAAATTGAGAAAGAAACATACAGCCTGACAATGGGATACCATCTCCACAGTAAACAAAAAACATATTCATAATAAATGTATCACCATTTTCAAAGTGCAGGTTTTGTTTTGCATAGCATAGATTTATTTTATAAACACTTTCCTAAACAAGATGTATTACCTTGTATGTAAAGGTGACAGAATGTTCAGGAAAAACTTCTTAAACTAATACTCTGGCTATGAATAATCTCACTGTCATTCCAAGGCAGAGGAAGGAGGGAAAAAGTAAGGCTGTAAATGTTTCATGAACTCTTTTTAGCCAAAATCAGAATATGCACATATAAAATAAAAAAGCCTACTATTTCACAGTAGCTAGATACATTTTGTGGGCTGCACACATGCCTGCCTTTTGCTAAAAAAATCAATAACTCAATTACAATAGCACAGAAATTATCTGTCAGGATAGGATTAGAAAATGTTTTAGGAGACTGAAACTTAGCTGAGAAAACTTTTCAGTGGGTATATATAGCATGCACCTTTGAAATCCATGTTTCCTTTAGAAATAAGTATTGAAGAAGCTTAGACAGAGACTTTAAAAATAGTATTCCCATATCTTTCATAGGCAATATACCATACCTTCATTTTTCTGCTATACATATATAAAAAGGGTTTACCTTCCCAGAGAAAAAAGAAATCTGGTCCAAAAGCAGTGTAGATGTCTTCTTGTTATTCTTTCTTGACAGGCTCCTGAACAGAACAGTTTAAGGAACCTCATCTTCATAAATAATTATGCACCTCTATTTTCCAAATCAGATTACCATCATATTTAAAAGAAGTACTGCAAGCATCTAATTTTTGATATTACAGTATCACAAAACATAAAAAACTCACCTTTATAGGTAAAGTGATACACTTGAAAATGTTGTATGACAAAACACTCCACTGACATCTCTATTATAGGCTGACAGAAACAGTTAGTTATATATCCAAAATCATAGCAGGCTTATTCATCCTAAGGTATTATTGGTACACCAAGACTAGAACCAAAAGTACATACTTTTAAAAACCAACAGTAATATATCTTGAGATCTCTGCAGCACACACACTCAAGAGAACTCCTCTGCTAAACCTTGCCACAGATTTTGCTGCTGCACAATAAAAACACAGTTTGTAAACAAATGGTCCTGTGTTGTGAAGCATTCATTCATTAGAAAGGTTTGAGGTTTTTTTTAAACTTACACAGAATAAACATTTCTCTATTCTTTTCCCACAAAGAACATGCACATCAACAGACAAATTTTATGTGCAATAGTATCAAGAACACATGGTGACTGCGAATGTAATTTAAATTTTAAAATTAAAAAATCCAGTTGTGAAGAACCACTGACCATTTCAGCAGTCTAGAATGGAATGAGCCCTTGCCTATCCTCATCTGCGTGTTGCTTGCATGGGTAGATGCTGATCTTTTTCTTTCTGCTATAGACAATTATCAGTAGTAGTTCAGATCCTTAAAAAAAGGATACAGCTCAAACTCCAGATCTGATATAAAAATGGAAGGTAGATCAGAGACCACCACCATCTGCAAAAATTCCAGCGCAGGACCATAGTAATGAAAAACCTGAAAAAAGATCAAATAAAAACCTATATATAGAACACTATATATGATGTTGTATCACCAGAAGTTTCTCAAGTGTTTTGCTGAAGGTATTAGCCTTGCAGATAACATCTGAAAGAGGTATAAAGGAATACAAAAACATTTCACAACATCATATTAAATTATATCAAAAAAGGAAGGTATTTATTTTTTAAAATAAATCTGACTTTATAGAACATCAACAAGGTGCATCAAATGAGTTCTCTTACCCAAAATAAAATATGATCTACCAGGAAGAGACAAATGCAATACAAAATGCACATGTTTTAACAATGAAAATAACAAACTCCAAACCGATACCAATTTTCATAATGCTCATTTTTGTTTTCATCAACACATATGATGATGAAAACAAAAACACTATGATTCTGGAGTTCCCACCAATTACCTACTTCCAGTAGAAAACATGAAACACCAAGAGTGTAAAAAGAAAGAAAGCCAAACTTTTAAAATTAAGTGGGAAGGGTTAGATAAATACAGAATTCATAATTTAACTATTTTGAATATTAAACTGAACAAAGTCTCAATTTCTACTTGAAAAAAATCTGGTGTTGTATTTCTAAGAACAAACAGATGAAGCTTTAAGGATCTGTTTTGAAAACACAGGTGTACAAAAGAAGTATTCCTCAATTTTATCCAATAATTACTTCTCTACATAACTCAGTTCTGACTAAGGTTTCCTCAATTACTAATTTTCTCCAGAAAGTAAAACAGATGAATTCTAAAACTCAAAGAAAGATCAAGAATAATACTTGCTTCTGGCAAAGTATCAGTATTCCTCAATTGGCACTCTTTTTTAGCAGCAAAGCAAGAACTTAAATTTGCAGTCCTGAATGTCTTGGCTGAAGTGCTCTTTATACAAAATTCTGGAAAATCTACTCCCGATCCAAACTGGAAAAAAAAAAAGATGATGATAAATATTTCAAAAAGAGATAAAAATTATTTCTCTTCAGTTAGTTAGATGTGCTGTTTTAAACAATTAATATTATTTTTTATCAGGTCTGTAAAATAAGAAAAAGACTAGACTTAGATAACCAACTATTAAATCCAAAACCATAACACTGAAAATGTAAACAATGTCACAAAGGTTTTTGCAGAAACATTAGGCATGTGCTTGCAACAATGACTTACAGTTACATGACAGTGACTTGTGAGAGATACAAAACAATCTAATTTTGAACAGTAACTTTAAAAAAAATTTTTCACACAGAAGCATCTGAATTTCTGAAGTTCAGACCTTGATGCATTGATCTCATTTATCATTTCATCCTGCCATCCACCCAGACACACTGCACATTACTTTTGAATTACACAGTTGAAACCAAATTTGGCTTAAAGTATAAAATGCACTGCATAATAAATGCTTTAAATGAAGTATACAGATGCTTTAAAAAATAACCACCACAATAATAAAATAAAAGTTATTTTACCTTTCTTTCCCATATCTGAATCCTTCCTCTCCAGAGTTCATTTAAATCAATACTATTCATTATATCACCTGAAGATACCAAGTCTGCTGACAGATAGTCTGCAATCTTCTGCCAGCTACTGTAAAAATATCAAAGCATTAATCTTACTGAATTTACCATTACAATAAACATGCAGTACAGTTTGGGTGAATTCACCTATGACCTCTTAGCACAAAATCTTGTGTATGTCAAGACAGACAATAAAGTTTAATAAAAGTAAAAAATATTACAGAATTGCTCATTCAGGTCTTGTAAAGGAAGTTGTTCATATATTCCATGAAAGGGACAGGAAAGAACTTTGACATCAAATAAGGCTGGCAGTGGCAAGCTGCAAGCACAGCATAGTAATGTTGGGTGCTAGAAGCTGCAGCAAAGCCTGGCAGCCATCAGTGGGGCCATCACTGTCTGTCCAGATGGCCTCTAGTTAACCTCTAAATGGAGAAATGACTGCAGCACAAGCATTATCCAAATTCAACAGGAGAGAACAGCCAGTAGCTGTGGGTTCTGCTGGCAGTCTGTCTCCCAAGGGAAATCAGCACCATCAACAGAACAGGAAGAATAAGTGAAATAACTAATCAGAGATCTTCTACACTCAAATAATCTCACTTTATATAAAAGGCAGCAGAAAAATTTATTCAGTCAAAAGCTGGTTCCACAGGATATCAATGAGCACTGAGATCAAGCACTCATGGAAGTCACTGAGTAACTTCCTTGTCCTCCACACACCTCAGGAGATACTGTATAGTAGGTATATTGCTTATTCTATCCAAGGACTGAACATTCACCTTTTTAAACAGTTTTATTCATTTAGGATTAAGTTTAACCATGTATTCCATGAAGCAAATTTCAATCTTTTGGGCATGGAGGGGAAGAAAAGTGGAGACCTTGCCAAGTTGTTCAGTATCTGCACAATCATCCACTTAACAGGATAAAAACCCCAAATCACTGTGGTTTATATGGTGAGATATATCATGGCCTTTACATGTCAATTAGAGGACAGTAAGTAAATTACTGGAATCAATTTCAACTTGAATTAACAGTCTCAGTAACTCTTCATGCTAACAAAAATTGAAAAACATACAGAAGTAAAATAGAGTGTTTATATTCCTTTTTCAAAAGGGACAAATGAAGCACTCTACTTTTCCTCCCTGAAATGTAATACCAATGGTAATATAAAATTTAAAGTAAAATGAGCAGTAGTATGGATTCATTTTAAAAAACCTCGAAAACTACAATCAATATACAAGTTATCCCATAGCATAATACAACATGGAAACATTGTAGGCACACTGAACCCATGGAAAGGGAAGAGAAAATATTTTGCTTTTTGGTCCCACAGAAAACAAGAAGTGCAGAGGACTGGCTTTTTTGTCTACTTCTGTGGTTTGCATTTACAATGAATCAGAATGAGTAATTCCTCCCTTCATACAACAGACAACTAATTTATGTATTTTCAAAGTACACATGTAAAGTACCCAACAAGATGTTTTTATTTCAACCCACTGATCTATGGTAACACAAAGCAGAAGTGACCTTGTTTCAGCCCTGAATAAATGCCATACCCTTTAGCATCACTTGCAGCAATAGTGATCTGTGCAGAGTGCCACTCTCTCAGGTGTTTCAGGGCACCAACAGCAGGTAAGCAGTCCTTTAACTTGGGTCCATCACATTCAACAGCCTGCAGGATTACATCAACCATTGCTCTGCCTATAAAATAGTTGTGTATGACTTAAAGTGTCATGATTCAGTAAATTTTTCAGTCATTTAAAGATAGAATAGTATTGGTCATCATTGATTGCACTAAAACCAGCAAAAAGATCAAGTAACTACAGGATTTAAAACAATTTCCACACATTTTAGCTCATCACTTGCTGCTCCTCTTAGATGAACACAGAGTATTTCACCATTCCCTCAGTGACAATGAAAAGTTCTCTCCCTTTCTCCTCTCTCACTCAGCACTGATAGATGAGATTTGTCACCTGTACAACTAAGCTATGTCCTTTTCCTGCTTTTAACACTCTAAGCTGCTATTTTTCATTCTTCTTGAATTCCTTTGTTATCCCAAATCAACTTCTACATCATTATATAACCCTAACATGCAAGGTGATATGTATGTCCAGTTTACAAAATCCCAATCCATCAGTTGTGATGTATTTTCCTCCTCATCTTCTTGGCTCACAAGCTGTTAAATCAGATGTAAGCCTGATATCAACATCTTCCTTTCTTTAATAAGAAATTTCCTGTGTTGAGTTTTGTATTGCTTACTGTCTATGATTAGGTTGGTGTCATTTCAGATGGATAAATTTATTATATAGTTATTTTAAACTCTACTGAACTATAGCCTGCCAAAACTAGCCCTCAAGCTGATCTGCAATGCCAACCATGCTCAAGTTCCTAAACTACCTTCAAGAGTTACATTAAGTTAATTCAGCTACCCAACTAAGGTTCTCTGAACTTTTCCATTCACTATCCTTTTACCAAACAAGATAAACTCTAATGAAATTGGTTTTTAAAGACAGATTACCTGGGGCAGGCAATTTATCAGCTAATTGATGTAGACTTTCAGCAGCTTCATCATAGATACTAAAAATGAAGAACAACATGTTTGGAACCAAAATATAAACAAAGTCATTTAGAAACAAAACATTAAAACCAATGAATGGTACCTGATGTATCTTACATCTTTAAAACTCTGCACAAACATACCTAGCCTATGAGAAATCATCTCCTCTTTTACTAAGACAGAAGTAGGACTAATGACATCAAAATAATCTGAAGTAAAACTGGAATTATGTTCAAAAGGAATTAGCAAGAAATTTAACATTGGCTGTTAGGAAACTATTCAGTTATCTTATAAAAATTATCTGTAACAAATTAAAGCTATGCTAAACAAAATAAAAGTATTTTCAGTTCTAGCAGGGAATTGTTCATTGTTAACTCTTGGTTTAGTACTAACTCTCACTTGTTAAACTTTCTTGATCCCCTTGGGTCATTGCTGATAGATGTCAGATCACTGTTCTTTAAATAAAAACAACAACATACATACTCAGCCAGAGACAGTGATTCCTGACTGTTACTGTCATCCTCCTCAAAACTTTGTGTGGTTCCTAGGTTCTCATCAATGCTTGCTTGGTAAGAGTCTTCATTTTTCTGTGTGTCAACATTTATTTCCTCCCAGTCAGAACTGCAGAACTAATCAAACAAAAAGGCTTTAATAAGCAACAAGAGTTTTGAACATCACAGTTTTAGCTTGTTCTACAGTCAGGCAGATGGTTGAGGAACTTACACTCTGAAAAAGTTTGTCTTACCTGATAATAACCACAGATGACATGACTTGCAAAATACCATTTCTTTGCACCTGGAATACCAGCCACTGAGCAAGCTGCAAAGAGATAAAACAATTATTTAAATCAATCAATTCACTAGAATCTATTCTTCCTATTATAATGAACATCTCTGCTAAAAGACTTGGTAAGTCATTTAATTTGCAACAATTACTTGAGTTCTATTTTTCTTTGGCACTGTAATTAAGCTCTAAACAAATGAAAGTGTAGGTAAGTGTCTTGGCAAGTGTCTATTACTGACCTTTTGACTGCTAGTAAGTAAGAAAACATTTGACCTCTTCTCTGTTCTGGGTAATATTGCTTTCTCTTTGCACCATCTGTATCAGACCTGAACTAAGTAATACCTTTCATAAATATGATTTAGAGTTCACAAAATGAGATGCTCTATCAATATTTCTATGCAGTAAAAAGCACAGAACTTGAAAACAGCTTAACATTCCCATCTCCATGAATTTTAAGAGCTTACAGTGGTTTTCCCACATAAATCCCAATTATATGACATCTGTGACAAGATGAGCTTATAACAGTAGATATCCAAACCAAGTAAAGAACTAAGAAAGCATTTTTTGATTAAAAAACCCCAAAACAACAAAACACAAACATGCAGCCCCTAAAAGTACCAAAGAAGACCTTAAGACATCTATTCTAAGGTTAAAAAAATTATTTAATATTCATGCATTAACGTTCTGAATTGTTACCCAACAGACAAGTATTGTTTCTACTGAAAAAATCAGAAGACATTATAGGAGTAACTAAAGTATCACACTTCCCACTGACTTGGGAACCGAGCCCTTTCCTACTCTTCCTTGCTCAACTGGACTGAAATTTGTCAACTCTTCAAAACCTTTCATTTCTCACAACCAATCAATGTAATCATCTCCTAACACCTTAGCTGCCAAAATGATGTCAGGTTCTCCACAGAAACAAGAGCAGCAGGAACAGGCCCACACCACAGCAATTGGGATTACATAAATTTCTGACTTGTCTCCCCCAACAGAACACTCATAGGCCAATTCCTCAATAGCATTTGCCCCTCCTCACTGTGCATTGCCATACTTACCTGGGAATGTGCTCATATCTGCATTTATACATGCATTACAACTTTCTTTCAGGAACTGATACATGTCTGCAGCAATCCCAGCTGGAAAAAGAAAAAAAAAATCTTAAAACGACTTAATTTTGGAAGTTAAACCTTACTTTCTTGCAAATATAGTATAAGTTCAGCATGACATTATAAAGAGAATTTAGGGAAGAAGGGGGAAAGGGGTTGGTTGGGGTTTTTAACAGAACTGTCACCTGCAGATATACAATTTAAAAAAACAAATTTTCCTAAATTCTCCTTAAAATCATATTCAGGAACGCATTACGGAGTTATAAAGCAGGAACTCCCCTGAAGTTTCTGCAGGATAAAGGCACCAAAGACTTTCAGCCTGAAAGCGAAGGGGTGTTTAGGGAGGCAGGAACAGGAGAGCCCCGCAGACACCGGAGCACCGCCCGCCCCGGCCCAGCGCCCGCGGCCCCAGCGCCGTCCCCGGCGGTGACTGCGGCGGTACCTGCGGCGGTGGCTGCGGCGGTGGCTGCCGCGGGCCCGCCCTGGGCCCTGCGCTCGGCCCAGCTCAGCAGCAGCACGTAGCGTTCCATGGCCGGCCGGGCCGCGGCGGGCGCCGCTCCGAAGGTCCCGCGCTGCCGCCCGGCACCGCCCTCCGCAGGGCAGCGCTTCCGCTTCCCGCGGCCGCGGCCGGGCCTCCCTGCGCGCCCCGCGCGGCATGGCGAGCTACAGCCGGGCGGCCCAGGTGAGCGCGGCCTCCCCGCGGGCCTGCGGCGCCTTCGCGGCCGCCGGGACGGGGCCTGGGGCCGTGAGGGAGCGGGCGGGCACCGAGGATCCCCCTCGAGCGCCCCGGGGCTGCCCCCGGTGTCACCTGAGGGTGCCGCTGGCAGGAACCGCCGTGTGCGGCACGGCTGGGGACGGGGACCCGCGGCTCAGGCTGTGCGCGGTCTGAAAGCTGCGTGTGGGGGAGCTGTGCCCTTCACCTTGGGCATTCAGTGTCCTGCAGCGATGTTACGGGTCATGTAGCCATGATGGAAGCTTGCAGCAGGAGATCTGCGTTTTTGAAAGAAAGCCCTCAGTGCCGGTAACCTGTCAGTGGTGTTACCCATGCACATCGCCCTGCGGTGGGTGCATCGCTGTGCTCCGTCCCTTTAAAGGTTATTTGAAGGGGGTGGTGCTGCATGTCAGTATTCCTTCTAGTGTTATTTGAATGTAAAAGAAGTGTTGGTTTAATTGAGGAAGAGAGATTACGCTAATGTGAGTTTTCCCTATGATAAGTACTGATCCTCTTTCTTTTCAGCAATGGGCTACTTTTGGTAGAGCCTGGTACCTCCTCGATGCGAAGATGCAGCCCCCAGGAAAACTAGCAGCTGCCACTGTCATCAGACTCGAAGGCAGACATAAACCTATTTATCATGCACTAAGTGAGTATTGCAATGGATGAAAGCACATTTGCTTTTCTTCAACATGCATGTTTCTTCTAATTCCAGTTTTAAAATCAAACTTTATATAAAAGATTACATTCCTCAATTGTTTATAAATTTAAAATTAATTGGTTTTCTTTCTTATAGTTTTCCATTGTATCCCTTCACAACCTAATGTTGTTTCTTTACCAATACCTATGAAGGATGCTATGAATTTGTAATTCATTTTGAGTAGCTGAATTACAGTGGGATCTTCTTTCATTTTTTAAAAACCTCACAACATGTTTTGTTGATCTTAAATGTAAAGATTTAGTTCACAGTGCACATAAAGAAATATCTGAGTACTTCTTTCAGTAGGTGCTCAGGACCACAGTCTTGGACTGCTTCATTCTGAATAAGGTGCCAAGCAGTCCTGTTTTCATGAGGCAGTGGGTACAGACTGAAACACAGGACACTCTGAACATCAGATATTTTTTACTGTGAGAGTAATGGGATGTCATTGCCCAAGAGGTGGTGAAGTCTCCATCTGTGGAGATTTTCAGGAGCTGGTCCTGCTTTTAGCACTGGGTGTCGATGACATGACTTTTCACCTTCCTGCCTCATACATTCTGTGATGAGGAGGCTGGGACCTGTCTTTAAATGGGCAACAGTCATTGTTGAATGTTATCTTGTTTAAACAAAACCATCATTTTGTTTTTCTTCAAATTAGAGATTCAGCTATAAAAATGCATCTGCAGTGCTGTTCATTATCTGTAATGCTGTAGTGCCTGTCTCACGAGGATAAGCATTTTATAAATAATAAAGAGTTGATCTTTCACACCACTGGTACCATGTTTCCTGTAGTACCCATGCAAATTTTTCCAGAGATGCTGCTGTAACATAAAGGAAGCCTTGAAGTTGGCTCATACATGTTGAAGGGTATGTGGTAAAGTTATAATCAATCTATTTCACAGTAGGAGGTAGGATTTGTAGTGTTGTCAAGACCTTTAAATGTCACAGTTCTGCTGTTGCAAATTTTGTTGTATCCACAAGATGTCACTGGAGACTTAAGGCTGTCTTGAGAAATAAAGCAGATGTTGAGAGGAAAATGTTTTGGTTATCCTGTGCAGAAGAACTTTGATACTTTTATGTCTGTGAAGTTATAAAGTATTTCAAGGATAACTTCATTTTGTTTAAAATGTTGTGTAAATCAGTGCTAGTTGCTTTACACATGTTGACACCAATTGCTTGGTTACTGCTACTGAGACATTTAGGAGAGCAAAGCATGCAGGAACTTGGTCTTTATGTACTTGATGTTGCTTTTGCTTCTGTTTTTGAACTAACAAATATTTAGTATCTGTGAGATAACAGCTCCCTGGACAGAGTAACATCAGGAAGATTTTGTTATTGTTTAGTTTTTAATTTGGTATTTGTTAATTCAGTGGTTTTGCAAGTGGAAAACTGTTGGCAGAAATTTCCTTAAGATGAGCTTATTTGTGTCATCTTCCCATCTAAAAGACCAAAAGGTCACAAAGTCCAGTGGCAGGTTCCTGATATTTATGAAGTCATACAGTGTTTGTAGAACTGAACTGTCAGCAGTGAAGGCCTGCAGCAGCAAGGCTGTGTAAATTACATTTGCACTTCAGCTGTAATTGAAAGTGGAGCATTAAAAGAATACAAGATTAAAAATTAATAGAACCCTTAAGGTGTGAAACTTGCTTTGATTTATTATGTGCTCCTATGAGAATGAATGGTCAATTTAAGCCTTGCTTTGTTACCTACTCAAAAATGTTTTAATCAAGTGAGCCTCTTCAAATACTTGTGTTCTAATGTGGTGATGCAAATGAGGCTGAACTTTGGAGAAATCATTTTCACTTTAGTTGAATGGCTGATTGCAGCTTATACAGCTGACCAGGATCATTACTTCTAAAATTAAAAACTATATATTTTTTCCTATTTATGTGTTATTTTTGAGATAATAGAGGTTCTGTTAGCACTTTATTACTACAGAAGCCTTATTAAATCAACTGTTTCTGGCAGGGTGTTGGTAATACATTATAAACCTTACACTTAAAGAACTTTTGATGTTAAAGTTGCGGATATAACTCTAAATGTGTGTATGCTGTAACATTTACTTCTGTTGGATAGATGAAATTGTGGAGTTTTCCCAACAGAGCTGTTGGGGTGGTGTTTTTAGGGCTTTTTCCCTCTGCCACTTCCTCAATGAAATATTTTTGTTTTATGTATTTTGCCTGAGAATGTAACTACTTAATAGAAGTATTTTACTTACCCAAAGTGTTCAGACATTCAACAAACACAGACACTGTTTTTATGAGAAAGTAAAGAAATACTTAGGATCATCTAGAACTAACCTTTGTTTGTTTTTTGTTTGTTTTTTTGTTTTGTTTGTCCAGTTTTTTGTTTGTTTTTTATTTTTTAATACAGGTGCATATGCAGCATAATGTGTTAAATAGAATAGAAATTTGCCTGTAAGCCAGATTTCCAAATCTTAGCTGAATATTTGCAATGGTTTAGGCATCTGGCCTAATGGTATTTTACCTGCTTACCTGCCTTCTAACTTGGTAGCACTAAAAATAGTAATTAAGGTTGGTATTAAATGCTGACTTGGATGCTGTGACTCAAAAAGCTGAGATCTTTAAATTTCAGTTTTATGGAAGGTGTATTTATATGCTGCTATGTATGTACTGCACACATAATAGTTGTTACTTTGACTGATTCCCTCTGTGGTTTTCTTTAATATCTTCCACTTACTTCCACCTTGCAGATGACTGTGGAGATCATGTTGTCATAATAAATACAAGACATATTGCCTTCTCTGGTAACAAATGGGAACAGAAAGTATATTCTTCACATACTGGGTAAGCTTTATAGTAAATAGAACTTATGGCAGTGAGCTTGTGGTAAATTTTATGTCATATTTTCTTAATAATTGAAGTCTTTTTTAGCATATTGCTTTAATAGGGAATTCCTGCTTTAACTTTTGGGGGGTGGGGTTTGTTTGTTTGCATGTATTATGATGTTTAAAATGGTGTAAACCTTTTTCCTCCTTTCTTTTTCTTGCTTTTTGTGTTTTTTTTATACCCATTGTATGTTGCTAGGGAAATAATTGGCTCAAAAGTAGTCAGAGCAATTGAATAAGTTAACAGATTTGGTGAGTGAAGTTGTGTCTTGTGTTAACCTCTGGACCCAATGATCTGGGCTATTCTGCTATTCTGCTTACTGTATAATAGAAGATATTTCCATTGGCACATATAAGACATATATATATATATATATATATATATATATATATATGTATATATGTATATATAGTCACCAACTTTAATTATTTTATCCTACCAGGACCTATCTACCTAAGAGCAAATATTGAATCAGAGGATGAAAAAAAAGTTGGGAAAACAATTTAAAAACGAAATGCTCTCAGTGATGTACAGTACATTGTTATGCACAGTAGTGTAAAATACATTATTCTGGCAGACATAACTTGTTTATAGTGGGGAGTGCAATAATCAACTACAGACAAGGTGTCCATGATCAGTTCAGTGCTCCTATTTTATGCAGTGATACTAATTCATAATAATCTCTTGAGTGTCACAATGTATCCAATTGAGAGATGAATAAATTACACTGAGTAAGTTAATTTTGTAGTGCTAATGGTGCAAT